CCATAGAAAGGTCTAGGTACAAAATGCATAACATAAAAAGGAGCAAAAACATTTATATACAGATATAAAAGTACATTCCCCATCCTTCTGGGGTGTGGAGTAAAAAAAAAAAAAATCTAAAACTCTACAACTATTGCCTACAGAGGCAATAAGGAAAGGGGAAAAGAGGAAATTTTCATACATCCGGACCTCCATGTCTCATTAGATACCTAAAGTCCACACAAAAGACCTGGCACAAAATGAAAAAAACACAATACAGTAACAAAAACCACMGACATGTTTTATAGTATATATCCTGTCCTTAGTCCCCATTCATCCCTAAAAACCTAAAATACTTTAGAATTATTGTCCACACAAATAAAAAGGAAAAAGGAGAAGAGGAGAGAATCTGTGGTACACTAGGAACCTCACATGTCCAAGTGAAGGACTGTGAGCCAGTAAAATACTGCAAAAAAGAAGTAAATATATGCACATACATTTAAAAAGTATATGCTCTGGCACCTACAGAAGCCTTGCAACTAACTGCCTATACTACCAGACACTGCCCACACAGATAATACAATGAAAGAGAAGAGCATGGAAAAATCCTCAACATTCTTCACAAAGGACAAGATAGGAAATGAAAAAATAATAAAAAAGCAGCAAAAGCATTTATATACATGTTTAAAGTATATACTCTTACCTTAAAACCACTTTCACTCCTCTAGCATAAAAACCTTCAAAAAACTCAAAATTGTTTTAAAAAGTATTGCCCAAACAGGCAKTAAGGGAAAGGGAGAAGAGGAGATTGTTATACATCTGGAACTCCATGGTTCATTAGGTAGCTTCCAGTCTGGTTACCCAATGAATTAATACAAGATAACAGTAAGAACACATATATACACTAAGTGCACTTCCCCTTTCCCCTACCCTCCAAATACCTCACTCCACAACTACTCTAGCTGCTGCCCAACAGGCTTAAGAGGTGGAGAGAAGAGGCAACTGATACACATCTGGACCTCCATGTTTCAMTAGATATTTTCATGTCCTTGAGGAGGACACAGTACAAAATGAATTAGTAATACCTTGTAGTAGCAAGCACATTTATATACACTGAGTGCAAATCCCATTCACCGCAAACACAACAAACTACTCTATTAGCTACTGCCTAACAAGACAAAAAGGAAAAGGGAAAGCAGGAGATTTATTATATTCTAAAGCTCAATTTTTAAGCATATATGCAACCATGCAAAGACCTATAAAATGAAGCGTAAGAAGTAGCATAATGTTTATATACACTTGAAAGAACAATAGTCCCTAAGACTAAATCCAAGCAACAGCCAATATGACCACTCTGCTATTATCCATGCAGGCAATAAGAGARGTAAATGGGACAATTCCATACTTGTGGACCTCCACAGTTTATTGACATGCCCATGAAAAAGAAAAATGAAGTGCAAAATGAAACAAAACAAAATAGCAGCAAAAACATTTGTATTCATTTTTTTTGGGGGGGGGGAGTTACTGGAGATTGAACCCAGAGGTGCTCTAACACTGAGCTAGACTCCCAGTTCTTTTTAATTTTTATTTTGAGACAGGGTTTCACTAAGTTACCCAGGATCACCTGAACTTGCAAGCCACCTGCCTTTGYCTCCTAAATTGCTGGGATTGCAAGCGTGTGCCACTGTACCTAGTTCATTTGTTCATACTTTTAAAAGAAGCTACTCTGCATTCCTTCCAGCACTACCATTTACTTTCAGAAAAAGAAACCAAATACTTACTCTGTAGCTATTGTTACAAAGGTAATATGGGAAGGGGAGAGAGAGATTCATAGCACAGTATTTCATTTTTCATCAAGACAAAATATTTAAGATGAAAGATATAAAAACAAAAAAACACATATGTACATTTAAAAATTATATATATCTTCCCAAACCATGTAAAAAAAATCAATTATTCTACTAGCTATTGCCATGCAGGCAAATGGGAAAGGGAGACGAGGGGATTCATCATCCTTTTTTGGACCTCCGCTTTTCACTTGGTACCTACTTGCCAATGAAGAGAACAGAGCACAAAATAAAAGAATGCAGAACTCAGCAAAAAATATACCTTAGTTTTAAAAAATACAAATGGGGGTTAGGGGGGGGGAAAGCTTTTTTTTTTTTTTTTTTTTTAAAAAGAGATAATTCCAATAAAAACAAAAGTAATAAAGGCAAAGGTGAGAAGAGCTCCATCATACCTATGACCCCAATTCTTAGGCCTATGTAACAAAATCCAGGTCTAATTTTGCCCCTCAGTCCAGGAACTGCTGTCCTTGGTGATGATACATCTGAGMTGCATTATACCTTCCCTGTGGTCCCATGAAACACAAGGGAGTCATTTAAATGCTCAGCAGCCTAATTTCAAATTTTGGTTCCAATGCTTTAGTTTGCATAGACTCTTAAAATCCTGTTCAATAACAGGCTAGCAGTATTCTAAACAACTTAGCACTTAATATGACTTCTTACTTCCCAATATTCAGAAAAGATTCTAATTGGTGCCCAAAAATACTGATGCAGCTTGATTTGCTCTCTATACCCAGGACTCTTCTGAGAGCATTTTTATTCCTACAGTAACAGTGGCTAAAGTCCCATAAAATTAAAACATATAGCAAAAAAAAAAGTTAAATAGAGCCTGATATAGTAATTTTGTGAACACTGAAACAAGGACAAATACAATATCATTTAAAGAAACTTAAAAAAACAGATGGAGGAAGGCATAAGCTTATGATGGAAGTTGCCAGTACTTGCAGTATAATGTCTAATCCCTTCATAACAACAGAACAATCTGAACTCCTCCAATTTCTTTTTTCTGAACCTTTCAGGTCTCCAAGGTACATGTTTTCCTTATACAATTCTAGATTTCCAATTCTGTCTTTCCTAATGATTTAGTAGCATGTGCCTTTTTATAGTATATTCAAGTAGATCGTCTCTCTTCAATGAACTGAATACTCATTTCAACAAGTACTCAATTATGTCAGATAGCTGTGTGCTTATGTGAAGGCATATTACGACTTCTGTGCTTCTGCGTTCCAAGAAATTCAATGCATAACATAAAACTGGGGGGGAGGGGATCAGAAAACTACCAATATAATTAATAACTATAAGTTATACCTCTCATTTAACCTTGTATTCCTGACTTAATTCCCATATAAATGGGTTAGCATAACATTAAAAATTATGGAAATCCATGGGAAAAATAGAGATGAGGCCTACTAACATGACAAAAAAACTGAGGTGAGGGCTACAAATAAAAATTGCAGATAGTATGGATCCAGTATCATGGGAATGAACATCTTTGGGTATAGGGAGAGTAATGGATCATGAGTTACCTCTTTTTCAGCCCATGTTTTGGTAAGGTTTTTCTTACAACAACATGCTACCACCTATWCCCCTCATACAGTCACAGAAAAAAAATTATATCAATTAAATACAAGATTTGCCGAATGCAGAGTTAACATGTATTTTAGGAGCAATGTGAAGATGGGGAGATAAAACTGAAGAATCTTAACTGATTTCAAGAAGTAGCAAACTTTAAACTCTGTATCAAATTGGAACTTAGTAATATAAGATGGTAAAATGCCAGTAACAAAAAATTCCCTAAAAGATTAGTATTTTTTCCTTCACTCTGAAAGTACAAAAACATACTACCTTTAAACATCAAGTAAATTATCGTTCATTTACCAAAGCACAGGGGAATAAAGATCTACAATCATCTCAGTTTCAATAAGACATCTTCATTTGATTCTGTGATTCTCATAATATTTTCAAAAACAAATCAATGTTTAGAAAAGACTAAACTGAGAAAGACACACTAGGATTAAAGCAGGCTATCTTTTAGCTTGCCAGCCTTTTAAATTTTGTTATATAAAAATATTTTCATAAAATAAAATATAACTTTGTACACAACCCCACATATCCTAACTTCATATCTGCTGAATAAAAAAAGGTGACCTTTCCCAATGTCTGACTGTGTGGAGTGTTTTAAGTGCTCACAAACAAGTCATTCCCCTTTTTATGTACATATATGCTGTTTTCAAAGAAAATATAAAGTTCTCAAGAGTTATTATGAAGAAAACTTTTCTACTAAGAATCAAGGAAACATAACAATCTACTTATAAGTCTGCATAGCTCAAAAAGTTCAAGTACAGTATTTCTCCTTCAGGAGTAAAATGCCATACAATTTTGGATTTCTTTCTTTCATTCTGTCTTTCCTTGGCCACTCCATTTAATGTTAGTTTGGCCATAATAAAAGAAGAATATGATTTTTTTTCAACCAAAGTATAGTACTGTTTTTAATAGTGAAAAAATTCAAAGCCCACCATATTAAGCATGAATTTGATTTATTCCTATCCCACATTCTCTTTGTTTCTTTAAGGTACTATGGTGAACTTCAAATAAAATTTTTTAATTTCTCAAAGGCCCTATTTTAAAATATGCTTCTAATATGCCACTGTATCATATAAAATGAAAATCCACACATGGGTGTGATTTAGAGAGAAAGTATCTATGATCTGTGAGGTCAAAAGACAACTGAAGCAAATTGCATTCTTAGTACTAGTGATACAAGTCACAATGAAAAACACCAGTGCCAACAGATTGTTTGTCACAAACACAGAAATATTTATCTAAAACAAATATTTATCTGAAAAAAAGGCCTATCTAGGACAAGAGAGATGACAGTGTATAGATTTTGGGGATTATTGGCATTCATGAAAAAAATAATTATAATTAAATCTAACTCAGTTTGGAACATTTTCCTATGGCAACACTATATAGATGAAACAAAAAGTATTAAATATTTGGAAAATTTAACCTTTTGTCCTGGTTATTTATCTGTTCAATAACAACAAAAATTTTTTAAAAATTCTGTAGCACCCAGCTATTGTGCAGGAAAAAATATAATAGATATTATTTAAACTTTTTTTCAGAAAATAAAGGATTACTCAAAACCCTAAAATCAAAAGTAGATCTGCACACAAATCAGTTCTCTGCAGCTGCATGTGTCACCATCTTCATTATCATACCCTTCAAGGCCAGCTCTGAGCCACCTTTCGATAGCATTTGAAAATAAGAAGCAACAAAGGGCTGCCAAACCAGCAGCATGCAAAGACGGTGGGTCTTACAGCAGACCTTTCCTTGTTTGACTGGTTCAATAACTTCGTGGACACTGAGAAATAGGATAGAATTCCAAAAATGATTTTTCCCCCATATATCTTCAAGGTAGAAAAATTACTTATTGTTTTTGTAGATGGTTGGCATACAGATTAATATAATTTTGTAATAAATAACTACATACTGCCTAAAGACATTTCAGAAAAGACAGTTGGGCCCTGAGCTAACTAGAACTTTTAACAGTGCAAACAACTCTGCCACAGTCTTGGCTTCACCTTGGCTTTGGCAGAAGCAACAGAGCCCAAATTCACAAGCTCTCTAAATGGGTGACAAAACGAGGTGCAGTTGTGCATGCTACAGCCACCAAGACAGATTTTTGAGATTCTTCTCCATCCATTGGATATTCAACTGAATGACTTCCAAGGCCTCCTGGACACAACGAAGCCGAAACGTTGCCTCCGACTGATTTTCAAAGAATGCCTGGACCTGTAAGTTCCACATAGAAGAATTGTAAAGGAAAAGGACAAGCAACCTGACCATTCTTTAAAAATGAGCTTTAACTTATCAATGGCTCTGCTGATTCCTTGCAAGCAGCAGAGAGAAGTGCTTTAACATYGAAGGTATCTACATGGAGTTCTCAACCAAGCATGGTGATATCTGAAGTGGTTTTAAAAATGAATTGCCTTTACTTTCACAAGAATTAATTTTTCTAACTTAAAATATATATTAAAAAATGTTCAAGAAACAATGAGTGGTACCTAAAGTTTAAATTCACCTTTTGAATGGAATTTCTCAAAGTAATTTTATTACCACTGAAATTATTTGTATCAGAAAGAAAAGGGAATAGTGTTGAGGATGGATTCAGAATGCTTTCTCCTTGCCATACATCCAAACCTCTACAGGTAATCTCATTATAGCATCATTAACACTGATGAAGGGAGACACAGAAAAGGGATGAGAATTAGCATGAAAAGACACCATTTCACTTATACCAGGCAAACTTAGGGGAAAAGCTACAGAGGCTCCCCATTAGCATTTTATATAACCAACCTCAAACAAATGTGCCTTCGTTGAAAACAGGTGAGTAGATCCAGCAACAATACTTTGTATGGTATAGGACCCGAGATGGAACCTGAAGAAACACAAACATAAGAGAGAAAAATGAGGCAGCTACACGTAAGCAAAGCACTGTTTCTAAGTGCAAAGGACTTGTTTTAATGCCAAAGGCAAGGTGAAGCCTCTTGGGAACTTGCACCTCAGGGTCAAGGACAGGCTACATATGCTTGCTGCCAGGGAGAAAGGAAGGTAGGCAGATTCGGCCAGGAGAGTTTGGGATAGCCCTGTGAATTTTAATCCATTTGATCTTTTCAAAGATCATACACACACACACACACACACACACACAGAGAGAGAGAGAGAGAGAGAGAGAGAGAGAGAGAGAGAGGGAGGGAGAGAGAGAGAGGGAGGGAGGAAAGAAGCCAGCATGTGCTATCTGGCTAGGTGTGAGTTCTCACAATGCCTTGGCAATGGAGAGGAATTTTAAACACACCAAATAAATTGTTATTCTGAAACTGTCTGTGGCCATGCTGGTCTAAGTGACTGGTGTCATGCATGGCTGGCTTTGATTAGTACTTGAATGGAATACCCTGTTAAATGACTCTAGCTACAGAATTATGTTTATAAATGTGAATTATGTTTATAAATGTGTTTCGATAAACTGTCAAGGAAGCATTTTTCCTCTCATAGCAAATCACAACTCCTGTGAACCAACACAACATTGATGGCTTTTTCTAAATAGTCTGAGAACACTAACAGTCATTCCCTGAGAAACTTACTTCTGTACAAGCTTATTCCAGTTCTCCTTGACAAAATCCCATGCCAATAAGTGTCCAGGAAAACGTCGGCCCACTGTTCTAATGATAAATGACAACTTTTGTGTTCGGATGATATCTCCATCAAGGCTGCTTTTCATTAACCTGAAGAGCAAAACAGATTTAATCTCCAAAATAACCATTCGTGAAGACATGGTGGCTCCACTGAAATTAGTATTGGTTTCCTAAGTAAAGCTGGATAGCAAATCAAGGGAAATAAATATTGGATTAGTTGAAGAGTGAAAGCTTGCCATTTTTAAAACATAAAGGATGAACTCAACATAGGCATTTACATATACTGTCACATAATAATTTTTGATATATGAAGGATATTTAGGGAATATATTCTGTTAGAATTTATTACAGTTCTTGAGACTGGTACTTCTTTCCAGCAAAATCATTTTTTTATTTGAATAGGCAGATAAATACTTTAATTAATTTTAAAAATTGGGTTGTTTAAATGATTTGACAATGAAGGTACATTTCATTATATACTAATTAGTAGGTAGCATTTATTGATTTTGTGTACTAGATAATGCTGTARGTCTTCCACACAACCGTGCTATGAAGTAGGCATTTATTATCCATCTCCATTATAGTTGAAGAAACTTAAGGTTATATAATTGCCCCATGATTTATAACTGACAAATACTGAAGCCTAGCATTTGGAATGTATGTGGTTCTTAGATAGTATACTATACGGTTTACTGAGAGTAAGGAAAACACACCCTCCCAAAAGAATGTGGCACTATTTTTTAGGGCAAAAAATCCTCAACGTCCAACAAGATGTGGCAGGTTAAATAAATTATTAAACAGTCATACTTATGAATACCATGTATCCATAAAAACAAATAAAAGTAGGCTTTATGAATTGACTTTGCAACTCAATAATTGATTACTAATCAAAAAGAAAACACTGAATATAGGATAAATCTATGTTAAAAATGTGATTAAAGTTGGGTACGCTGGTGCATACTTATAATTCCAGTGACTTGTGAGGCTAAGGCAGGATTGCAAGTTGAGGCCAGCCTCAGCAACTTAGCAAGATCAAACTAAAAAATCAAAAGGCTATGGATCTAGCTCAATGGTAAAGCACCCCTGGGTTCAATTCCCAGTACTTAAAAAATGTGGTTAAATATGCAGACATGTCTGAATGCATATGCAGGATGAGCATCCTTTTCTGAAATGTGGGAGTCAGAGTGCTTCTCTTGCAGAATTTTTCGTATGACAAATGCTCAAGCTGTAGGCCACAACTGCTACTATTAACAGAGAGAAGGGAAAATAAGAATTAATGTGAAGGGTCATGAGAAAGACTTCCATTTTAGTTCATCTTCTAGGTATGATTTGAACACCTTATAATGGGAGTTGCACGTGTGGTGCACCAGGAAATAAAGTTTTCTCTATCTGCTTAGGTCAAAGGCTGGCCACTGCTCTAAATAAAATGCCTATTTGCAGTGTCTTGTGCAGAAAGTGAGCACATGCTAAGGGCATCTCTGTGACACCATTAGGATTTATCTCAATGAAATTACATAAGAGAAGAAAGGAGACCCAGGAGCCTCCTTCTATCCTTCCTGTGTGGCTTTCAGCTTCTGTGTCCCATGTTCCAGATACCTTCTCACTTCTCTTGGCTCGAGCTCCTCTACCCTGCCATTGTGTGTTCCTCCTATTTGGAGGCCTCCTTACAGCCCTTCTTTCACCCATGTGAAATTCCCATTCCCAAGTCTTCATCAGCTGGATGTTAAAAAGAAGTCTGACGAATAAATTCACATGAAGGTAGAACTTCTAAGTTTTTAAACATTACCTTTTTCTATTTTAATTTTTTTTTTGTTTTTGTAGATGGACAGAATACTTWTATTTTATTCATTTATTTTTATGTGGCACTGCTGAGGATTGAACCCAGTGCCTCACATGTGCTAGGCAAGGGCTCTGCCACTGAGCTAAAGCCCCACCCTACATTATCTTTTTCTGAAGTGTCTGCATTTGTAAAATGACAGTTTGAACAGAGAAATGCCTTGGCCCAAAAGAATGAGGTACTAATTGTGTAGTTTAAAACATGCCAAAGGGAAGAGACATTTTTGAGGGGAGGGTAGAAGGTTGTGATCCTAACATTTCCAACTCTTTTGAATAAAGCATATTTTGCCTGTCTGTAAAGGTTCAATCCCCAAGATGAAGCCCAGCACCTGCAGCATTTTGTCATACTGCCCAAGTCAGGTCTGGCTTATGACAAAAAGGAAGAGGGAGACCTCAAAGAAAATGAATTTCCATCTGAGGAGCAAAGTGTTTTTTATCTTTTGGTTTCTTTATATCAAACATTCCTTGACTAGCTTCATACCAGTGAAGTTTCCATACATCCTTTGAGCTGGCAAGAGCTTCAAGTATTTTGTTTTTCTCTGCTTCAGAGCCTACAGATTTGTACTTGCTTAAGAGGAATAACCAGCCTTCCTCWGTTTTTGCTCCAGCTTTGAACACAGTAGTCATGACATCAGTAGGCAGGCTGTAAGAGAGATGATCAAACATAAGAAAAATAAGAAAGCATTCTGAATACAAAGACAAGGACATGGTATTGAGTGGCAGTGATGTGTTGTGGGRTAGGGTAGGCAATAATCACAAAAGTCTTAACTATACAATTTAGAGTCAAGAAAAAGTTTAATTCAGTGATTTCTGCTTTCCTATGAGTAGGACTCTGAAGAACATCAGTTCACAGTGCAATTTAATACAGTAATTATTCACCGAGCACTATTAAGAATCAGGCAGGCAACTGGAGAAGGGATGAGAAATAGTCCCTGTCCTCCAGGAACTCATGGCTATCTCAAAGTGTACAGCAATWATAACATGTAGCAAGTTTCATGGTATAAATTCAGAAGTGGGTATACAGGGCAGGATATAATAAGAAGAGAGGATGAAACACAGTCTGGTTTCTTCAAGATCTCTGAAATGGGCAAAACTAGAAGAGTTATTCGAATCCTCTACTCCCAACTTCCTATCTGATACTTGAATCTTTTCTCCATAATGCCCAAGAAAGAGCCTGGAGACAATCGATCATCACCCAAAGTGTTGCTACTAACTGCTCACTCCACCTGCCATGTTTTGTTTCTAAATTAAAGGAGACTTATTTTTGTCATCACACACCCATAAGAATGGCTGCTATCAAATAAAAAAAATAGGGACTAGGATTGTAGTTTAGTGGTAGAATGTTTGCCTAGCATGTGTGAGGCTGTAGGTTCAATTTCTAGTACTGCAATAGCTTTCTTTTTTTAATCAGAAAATAACATTGGCAATGATATGGAAAAACTGGAACATTTATGTAATTTTGGTGGGAATGTAAAATGGTACAACATAGCAGTTCCTCAAAATATTAAAAATAGAATTTTTATGATCCAGCATTACTACTTCTGGATATATATCAAAATGAATTCAAAGCAAGGGCTCCAAGAGATTTGTGCCCATGTTCATGGCAGTATTACTCACAATGGCTAAAAAGGTGGAAGCAATCCAAAGGTCTATCCATGAATAAATGGATAAACAAATGCATTAGTGCATATAGTAAAATATTACTTGCCCTCAAAAAGGAAGGAATCTCTGACACATGCTACAACATATGTGAACCTTGAAGACATTATGCTAAATAAAAAAGGATAGATGCTGTATGGTTTCACTTATATCACATATCTGTTGTAGTCAAACTTACAGAAACAGAAAGCAGAAAAGTGGTTTCCAGGGGTTTTATTTGTATAGTTTCAGTTTTGTAAGAGGAGAAAAGTTCTGGAATTTGGAGCACTACAATGTGAGTATACCTAACACTATTCAACTGTACTCTAATGAAAGGTTAAGATGGTAAATGTTATGTGTATTTGACCCAAATTTTTAAAAATGTCTTGTCTGAGAACATAGGTGCATAGAGCTCTTCTACATTAACATGCAGTTTTATAACATTTACAACCCAGGTTAAGAAGATTTGTTTTCAGTATATTATGTGAAGTAAAGGGAATTCACTTGAGTGGACATACACTTCACCTTTGAGTTCCATTGGATACCATCCAATCGTCAAAGAGCTTCTTGGCTTCAGTGCTACAGTTCTCCAGGCTATGGGTGCAAGCAAATTCTAGCAAGACTGATCGAAGCTCTCGCATAGATGGGGGGCCCTCATCAGTCCAAGTTTGTTGTTGAATTTGGTGTTGAAGCAATTTAAATACTCTGGTCTAGAGAGACAAAATGGATTATAAAGGAGTAATAATAATTAAAATAATCAGTAGAATCAAATCACATCTTTCTCCAACATTTATTCAATTAGGGAAGAAAAAGGGCACAGATATTTCTCATTAGATATCAAATGACATATGAATCCCATGTAAAGCTGGAATGAAATCCACTAAATAACATAGCCTGTACATAAGGTTGCTACAAGGGGGGATTTTAGTGATAAACTCAGAAAAAAATAATGGCATCTGTGCAGTATCCTGTGTATACTCAGCTAGAAGTTACTTTCTTGCCAAAAATTATCACCTATAACTCGCTGATGAAAGGAACTTGAAATTTCCTGAACTAATGCTTTAGAATCATAAGCTCATAAAGCAAGGAGGGAAAAATGCACTTCTTTACTGATGACTAATGTTTAAATGTTTTTAAATTCAATATTAAAGGTATATTTAACATATGAACTAGTCTAATACTATAGTAAATTAATATAACCAAACTAACAAGAAAATGAATACTATATGGAAGAATAATTATTTATAGTATTCCCACAATTTTTTATGTAAAAAATTTCACATCTATCAGAAGTGTGCAAGTATAATACAGTGAAAATCCATATGCTGTTCATCTAGATTTACCAGTTTTTAACACTCTTTCATTTGTTTTATATGTGTGTAAAAACACACACATGCTTGTTTTTTTTCTGGTTTTAGCTGAACCATATGAGAATAAGTTACAGACATGATGTTTCATTTGTAAATACTATAGCATGCAACTCCCAGAAATAAGGATACTCTCCTATTTAACCAAAATGCCTTATCACACTTAAGAAAACAGACAATTATTTAATAATATCTACTATACTATCTAGTCCATTGTTATAATCACACTTCTGAATAGGAAATCATTGTAAAATACATATTTTTTATATTTAGGAGTCACCAAATTTTTCATCTCTCTCTACAATAAAAGCATAAAACTATCTAGAGTATTTTCATATTGTGAAGTATTTTTATAATGCAAACTGTTGTGCATGGGGGCAGGGTGAAGACACAGGATTAAAAAACACTGCCTATGAAATACGMATTTATTAAATCCACTAGAAGAGAAAAAATTAATATAAAAATGTTTACAAGATTTTTTTTAAAAGAGAAAAGTTTTACGGCTATATAAAGAAAGATCAATGGGAAAAAAACCTTACTGGTGCCCCTCTCCTTCAGGGATCTCAGGCAAGCAGATTCCCTTTACTGATGGTTTATCTTTTCCATCACCATCACTCTCATGTCTCAACTAATCAAGTGATGACCACATTATGACCACAGATGAYCACATTAAAAAAAAAATCTCTCAACCTAGAAATTTTAGTTCAAGTTCCTCACAAAGCATTATTTTCTTCTTGTGTATCATTGTCAATACCCCAAATGAGTCTTATTTGGAGAGTTTTAAATTTGAGGCCATTTTTTTCAGCAGATCTTCTCTGAATATAGCTTAACAGGAGAATGGAAAAAAGATTCTATGCAAGAAGGACTCAAAGTCTGTGATAATGTATTAACTTGCTTTGTTTGTTTAAAAGCAATGAAATAGAAAACAGACACCTGGTGGAACGTGTTAGTGCTAAAGCTTGGGAGTTATTGGAAGGACGACATGAAGTGGAAAAATATTTGCAATGCAGACTGATAATGCAAGGAACATCAAACCAAGACAGGATCCCCCTTGGACAATGCTGACTGCCTTGGTAGCAGCTGTCTACAACTGGCCTAACCTTTTCAATAGAATCCTGAGAGCTCACTGTCCCAAGTGACTAAATAATAAAAGAAATTTAAAAGCTACTCAAACTGTCAAATAGAAACAAAGGAAGAATGTAAGGGAAAAAAAAGTTATGTTTGAAATCCTACTTTAAAAAACTCAGTGGAGAAACATGGCAATGCTTATTGAGGGCTTATAATTACACAAAGGAGCTCAAGGAAAAAATGGCACTTCACATATTAGAAGCAAAGAAAACCTGACCCTTGAAGATGTTACACTACTGCAATTATGGGGTACAGTTTTACTAGTGTGTCTCTCTAGATTACATCATCAAGATGAATTCTTAAGAGTTTATTTTAATTATATTTCAAATTATAACTTTTATTAAAAATAATTCTATTTTTAGAGAAATTCCATTATGAAATATGAACATTTATTAGCAATTCAGGTTATATTTTGAATTAATATTAATGAAGCAGGTACTTCAAATTACCTTTCCCTTTCAGAAATAAAGTGAAATCTGTTTTTCTATGRTTTCTAAATTAATGTTTTGAAATTTTAGCTCATTAAACAACAGAATCCAACCATATGATTTCATAAAGTAAAAATTGGAAGTGGGGAGACGAAATAAGTTGTTGGGTTATATAAGAAACAAACAATGGATATGTAAAATAAAATACAACAACAATAATATAAAATGGTTTGAAAAATAAAAGACAGGGAAAGATGCTGGCACTTATGTTATATATTACATTTTGATTTATTGCCCTAATTTTACACTGATACGCCCAGAGAGTTCTTTCCTAGGTCAACTGAGTTTCTTAAAAGTGAAATGTCAGTTTTTATTGAAAAAGGTTTATCCCACCAATGCCTCATATGTAAGAGAATGACAGATTTCTAAGTGATAAAACAGGAATATGGCTAGGATCAGACATTAACATCAGATGTGAACAATTTAACAAGATTCAAATGTGCCTTCACCGCAATAGCACAGTATACATCACAATATGTGCCATATATCATGTATAGCCTACACAAAAATATCCAATATATATAATACTTTGGTTAAAATGACAAAAATAATTAGACTCTAATTTTAAAAACTAATACTTTGAACATTGGACTCAAGGAATTAGAAAGGTCTGCCATCTCAGTTCCTCACTACAGACTGTCATATTTCATAGTTTGAGAGTTTTGATGCTACCATAATGCCCTAAGATTAGAAAAAGAATTTGAAAAGATACAGGTTCTCTCTAATGATGAACTGAAGCCAATTTGGATTTTAGTTAACAACATGAAGACCTACAGCAGCAAAAGGGTCTGGGTTCATAGAAACATATACTAAGCCTCCTGTCCTTCTCATCTGTCCATCAGTCCTTGGGATTCTACCCTGAAGTATGTTCATAATAAACACACACCTGCCCAGAAAAYTGGAAATCATCCAGGATGAAGATACAGTAGAAAGAAGAGTTACTGAGTACCAATAGGAAAGAATTTCAAAGGTCCAGATCTGTGAATTGAGTTTAATATCTGTGTTCTCAGCATAGGGCAGCTTGAGGTAAATATAAGTGCTTCCTGAGATGAAGCCCTAAACAAATCTAATGGAGACAGTCAGGGAGAAAATGGCTTCTACCATGATGAAACGTAATTAGGTTTATGGCTTTAGAGTAGGCAGACATTCTTTATATTCAAAACTAATACTGTCCTTCAATAGTGAGGAAAAATGAATTAAATATATTAATCTTATTTGTTGCTACTTCTACGGAGTTAGTTGAACAGTGACCTCTCACACACATACATTCATGTTTGCTTTGAACATGTGAATATAACTTTATTTGGAAATAGGGTCTTTGCAGATATCGAGTTAAAATGAGGTCATACTGGGATACAGTAGTTCTAATCAAATGGTGTTCTCAGAAGAAAAGGGAAATATGGGACACAGAGACACAGGGAGAAGACCATGTTGACAGAGGCAGAGACTGGAGTGATTCATCTTACAAAGCCAAGGGATGCCAAAGATTGCTGGCAACCACCTAAAACTAAGAAAGAGACAAGAAATAGATTCTTCCTCAAAAGAAACAAGCCCTACCCTGCAAAAACTTATTTTGGCTTTCTAGTTTCTAGAACTGTGAAAAAAATAATTTGTTCTTTTCAGACACTGAATTTATAATAATTTATTATGCAAACTAATATACTACCTCAGTTGGTACTGATATAATATGGCACTAATCACTTCCAAAGTAATTTCACAATTAAAAATACAGATATAAATGAAATATACTGGGAAAACCAGATAGCCACAATGAAGTAAAACTTGGTGTCTACTTCATACCATACACAAAAATCAATTCCAGTGCTAACCTAGTTTTAAATATAAAAGGTTAAGTTCAGAAGTTAACACAATATCTTGGTGAAGGCAAAAAATTTTGTATGCTAAACTACATTGAAGTCTAAGAGTTTATAGTAATTATAAACATCATTGAGAGGAAAATAAGGTATTTCAAAATACACATAATTAACAAAAGATTCATATCTGCAATAGGTAAAGAACTTTACAAATTAATAAGATAAAGACAGATAATTTAATAGGAAAATTAGCAAAAGACTTGGGCAGTTTACAAAAGATAACATCCAACATTAAAATAGTAAATACATCAAAAGAAATTCATCTTCACTAATCATCAGGAAAATGAAAATTAAAACCAAAATTGCAACACTGGTAAATAACCCCCAACTGCTTAAAAGAAAAATAATTTATTATGAATACTAACAATGGCAGATCTAGAATTTGTATACACTGCTGATGGGAATGTAAATTGGTACAACTATGAAAAACTTCTTGACAGTACAGCATTAACTATGCACATGTTATGAGTCAGTGATTCCATTTCCAGACACATACCCCACAGAAATGCATATAAATATTCTCCACAGACACAAGAACACTCATAATAGTGCTACCTGTGATAGCTCCATACTACAAACAACCCCATGTCTATCAACATTAGCCAAACTGGTAAATAAATGGCCAGTCTCTTTATATCCCACCACAGAAATCCTGTGTTAGATTTTACATATGCTTTAGAGATTAGCAAGTTATCTCCATATCTCTTGGAAATGCACATAAAATCTGTAAAAAATTTCTATTACTAATATTATACGTATAAAAGATATATTATAAATTGATGATCTCATTTTCAAGAAAACAACTAGATGTGGGTCTGTTACTTTAAATCTTAAATGTATAGTCGATAAATGTTTCAAACTACTTTTAGGTAAAATTTCAATTTTAAAAAGGAAAAAAAAATGATAGCAAGAAAGAAGCTTTAATTTTTCAAACAAAAGGTATCCTGAAGAAATATTTCTGGAACACAAAATATAGGAACACAACACAGACAGTAGGCTTTGGAGTGAAAGTAATCTGGGATTGAATCTTGGCTCTATAATTTACTAGGTAAGTGCCTGGGGAAGTTACTCAGTCTCCTCATTTATTTAATGGGGACAGAAATACCTATTTTGATAATGTGTGAGGATTACATAAAGTAATCTCCATTAAGCACTCAGAATGTACAGAATATAATAAGTACTCAGATGCTTTTGTTTCTGGTGTGCTTTATTCATTTATTCATTCAACATTACTGAGTRTCACCCTGGGCCAGGTCTCAATCTAGGCACTAGTTTTTTATTATTATTATTACTATTATTTTATGAGGGCTGCTAGCTGAAAGCCTAATGGAACAGAAAGTGATAAAAAATCTTAACCATTCACTAAAGAGTCCTCAGAAATAATCTTAAAATCTCATGCACTAAAAATAGGGTGCCTTCTTTGGGGTCAGATTAGAAATGTGGGAGAGGGTGCTTTTCAAGCCTCTTCTGGCCCAAATGCCTTGTATTCCCATCCCCTCACTGAGAATCACCCATAAATGAAAGGATCATCATAGAAAATGTGGAGTAGCACAATAATGGAGATGGGAGGAGATAAAGCATGGGAGGAATGGGGGAATTTTAGATAGGGCAAAAGGGAGGGAGAGGAAGTAAGGGGGCAGAGGAGTAAGAAAGACAATGGAATGAAATGAACATTATTACCCAAAGTACATGTATGCAGACATGAATAGTGTGACTTTGTATATAACCAGAAACATGAAAATTGTGCTCTATATGTGTACTATGAATTGAAATGCATTCTGCTGTCATGTATAACAAATTAGAATAAATAAATTTTTAAAATTCAGAGCAAAACAAAGAACAAATAGTAAACASCTTGCAATATCGACTCCTTTAGTGCTTGCCAACAGTGTCATCAGCCACTGGATGGCAACCAGCAGGACTCCTAACCAGGATTTTCTCATCACAAACATAATGGCCTGGCAACTAGCAAATTAATAGGATACCTACTTTGAAAAGGGGCCTATTTCAAAAATTCACTGTGTAAAAAATAACTAGGATTCAAATAGAGACATTTTCTTTTTATATGACCCCACACCRAGACCAGTGTCAAAAGTCTGCATTTGGATAATCAAACAAATGTACCTTACACTAAACTTTTATTATCTCTTCATGGTAAGCAATTACATTTTGATTCAAAGTAAAAAGTTCACAATCAAGAAAATGAAGAAAATGGTATTTAGTTGGTTGCTTTTTTAGTCCAATACTGGCTGAACAAACCCAAACCTATAAATAACAACATTGAAGGCAGGCAATAAGGGAAATTGGCAGAAAGGCAGACTTACCACTAGTCTTGAGGCCAGATCAATTTGCCCCAGTTTCTCAAGAAGGTTATAGATAAGGTCAGTCTGGAACAGGGCTTCAGTGATGGGTGCAGTATAGCTCTCATTTCTAAGATAATCAATCAAATCAAAGGCCCTCTGAAGAGGCACCTTGCCTAGGCTAATGGATGAAACAACAGGAAATGTAAATATACTGAAACACACAGAAAAATTCTATGAATTCTCGAGAGCTTTATAGCTAGATGGCTAGTCTCAAGGATCAGAGTAGCATCCTGTACAATTAAAACTCAGTATTATTAACTTAATGTTCATGTGGCCAAAGGTTAAAGATGCATTCAAAGAGAAAGATATACAATATCTCATGTTTTATTCTACAAGTCACCTGTGAATTTCTTCTGATTCAGTAAAAGTATCCCAATGTTTTGGGTGAGAAAAGATGAACGACACTGATTTTATTTATTTAATAATTGTATTTAACAGAAGAAAGGGAATGGCACAGAGAGTATGTGAATCAGAAAAAAAACATTTTATTTGTTGTTTTGTGGAAATTTATCCACTGTGAATTTATGGTGAGCACATTTTAAACTTTAGCCACTCTATATAAAAATCATAGCAGTGATGGTTGAGATAATACAAGAAGGCCACTACATAAAAAATGAACCAAACTGAAGTTAAGAGTGGTCAAGTAGGATCCCATTGAATGTTCCTAATGCTTTTAGGCCAATTTATCAATCTAAACTGGTAATATCTTCAAAGACTATCTTTACAATAGGCCATTGTCATTCTTGGCTGTGGGATTGTATAATATATGAAGTGGTTGGAAGGCAAGCAGTCCACAGATAAGGAGACTCTCGCCATTAGTGGTGTCCATCAAGCCAGCAGATGGGCACTAAACATCACACTTAAATCCCACTGCTGATTAAAAAGAATTCTCTCTGTGAAACCAAAGGAAGTTTGAACTCTTACAGCAATTTATTCAGCAAAAATATGTATTCTGCTTGTTGGTATCTGCTCTTGAATTATTATTAAATTCTGTTGTATGTTTCTTAACTTTTCAATATGTTTTTTAGCTGAATGTTCCGAAACCATTTTTCTTTTTCTTTTTTGGTGGTACTTGGGATTGAACCCAAGGGCACTGTTACTGAACTAYATCCCCAGACCCCACCCCACCCCCTGTTTTTTTTTTTTTTTTTTTTTTTGAGATAGGGTCTCACTAAGTTGCCAAAGCTATACTTGAAATAAACTTGAGATCAATCCTGCCTCAGCCTCCTGAGTCACTGGGTTTTGCAGGCATATACCACCATGTMTGTCAGTAAACCATTTTTCTGAACTATTATTTACCCTCAGTAATTCATCAAAACAAAAACTCAAAACAAGCATACTCTACCCTGCAAGTTCAAAGATGCTGTTGATGAGGTTGGCTCGGTCTTTGTCACTCAGTACATAAGGATTTATTTTCAACTGTTTGATTAGTGCTGCCCAGTCATCGTCTGCATAATGTACAATATAATAGCCAGTCATGTTTGTATTGACTTTGACCCACTGTACTTGTTCTGTAAGATTGATGATATCTAAGACAGACCAAAAAAAGAGAGAGAGTGAGAGAAACATTGAGAAGGAAATATAAGAAAAAAAAGTTAAATGGGCACTTTTATAGTTAATATAGCATATTTTTATTTTTAATCATTCYACTAAGAAAGTGAATGCCAGTCTTCTGGTGCAATTATTTTCATGTTAACAAAGATTGCCACTCATTCACTTAAGGATTATTTATTCACTGGGCATTGCTGTTTCTAGGGTAGGCACTGGAGAGCAAATGGTGAACAGGCAGATATATCTTTGCTTTTATGATCTAATGTAGCCCAATAAGCACAATGTCACATAAGTGCCATCAATGGAGGAAGAAAATATGAAATTCAGTAAAAGCACGCAGAACGTTTCATCCTGTAGAAAAGTCTGGAGAGGTCTCTCAGAAGAAATGATGTCTAAGTTGTTATTCTTGTAAGTGATTTCAGATTATGTAGATGTTAGCCAAGTGACAAAGGTTCAGTAGGAACCCTATGTGTTCAAGGCCCCCAAAGTGTCCACAGTACCCCTGCAGTGAACTGGTCCTAGTTCATTACAGCTGGAGGAGAGAGGAAGAGAAAGGGAAAGTATGTGTACTGTGGGACAGCAAGGAAAAAGAGAGAGAGAAGTGCATGCACCACTCAGTCTTTTGTTAAGTTAGAGAGGAAGAACAACAAAGCCATTCAGAAAAGTCACATAATTTAAAGTTAGCGAAATAACATTAGGGAAGGCTTATGGTTTCATTAGGTACAAATAATAGAATAATAGAATAATAATAGAAAGCCATATGTGCTTTTTGGACCCCTACCATTTTTATATCATACACACACACACACATATATATATATATATGCATATATATATATACACACATATCATACATATATATTCATACATGCACATATACACACATATATACACACATACATGTCATATGATAATATATATAATATATTAATACTCACATATACATATTGAGAGAATTGTTAAAAATTTCTAACCAATTTTTTCAATTGATATACAAATAATGAAAAGCTTAACTGATTACAAGATATATGTATGAATTTTAAAAATCCTTAAAATTACTAAACAAGAATGTCCCTTAAAGTTGGCAACAAGGATATGGTTTCAACATAATAGGGGTATGCTTTTAAGCATCTTGACGTTTACTATTTATTAGTATATAAGCCCCATGGGCTTACTATTTTGTTCCCTGCTAATCTATCAATCCCTAGAACAGTGTATCTAGCAGATGTTCAAAAACATCTTTGAAGTAATRAAAGAGTTAATAAAGATTATATCATGGCAAACAGTTTCTTATCATATGTAAATAAAGTTTGTAGATATTTGTGATATAATTTTTCCATTTTAAAGTAATCAATACTTTGAATTTTTTTTTTAATTACAAGAGAAAGGAGAGAGAAGAAAAGTAATCTAAATTCAGATAATGATAGCATTTTGGAGTGCATTGCCTGTCAAGCTTTTTCCCATGTATGCTTTAACTGAACTACAATTTCATATAGTGGATTTATATGCATTTATATTTATGCTGCTTTTCACCTATCAGATCATCCCTCCATTTTCCATTGTTCTCATATGCACTGTTCAGAAGTGCATATGAAGATTCATAACATTCCACTTTAAGACCTACCACAGTTTAAACAATCTTCTATTTTGAAACATACAGACTTTAAATTTTTTCATCATCTAACTCTTTAGTGAATTATTTTTGTATATAAAAATGCTTGAGAATCCTTGTAAACTCAAGGATTATTTATTAGTATCTGAAGCTTTAGGGTTTGTCAACTTCAAAAGCACGAATTATTTAAGTTTATCAGATTCATTTAATATCTTTATTAACCCGATTCTATGAAAAAAGACATTCTGATCAAGTCTTAACAGGACATATCCGTTAATTAAAAAACTCCATACTCATTTCTGTTGTATTGCTGATATAGCAGCAGGTGGGAAAGATCAATTAGATTAAATCAGTTTATTTCTTTTCCAGGGCAGAATGCACTTCTAAGGAGTATTTGTAATGGCAACAGCAGCTGCTCCAAGTTGAAATCATTTTTAATAAACCTATGACTAATAAAGTTAACTTTATCATGAGATAATCTAAAAAATATCAACATTCTCCAGATACCAAACAATCTCCTATAAAGCTTTTTCCAAGAGAAGACCTTGGGAGGAAGGGCTACAGAGCCCCAAATCTCCATTGCCCAAAAAAAGGGAGACAAAGATTGGCAATAGTTCTACTGGATGGACACAAAAATTATGAAATATTGAGTATCTTGGCTGATAAGCAACCTGCCCTGTTGTAAACCTAGCCAATTCCAGATGGTARAGAGGAGGAACCCAGCTGGGAGTGTATTTGAAATTATTACTGTCATCAAGTTGACAGAACATAAACAATGCAGCCAATAGTATAGAGAGCTATCATTTAAAGCATCAACAAACTAGTCCCTTTTGGGTCTTCTGAATGATCTAGAATGGAGGACCTTAAAACCACAGGTATCAAAAGTAACAGCTCTGCATACAAGGAAGGGCAACTACATCCTGCAGTTCAAATATGGATGAGGCCATTCTCATATGTTTTTAATTTATTATAATCATTAACAGATTAACAGTCCAAATTTCACAGTCCATTGAGTAACTCAGATGGAAGAAACCCAGATAAAGTAATCTGTGATTTTTTAAAAAAGCCATTTTTTAAATAAACTATGAAAATCAACTACTGTTTTACAAAGAAACATTAAAGCACTGAAACAGTAAACATATTTTACTACAAATAGTTACAAAATTTCATATCTGATTTGCTTCTAGAGGCTAGCATAACACATGCAGTTGAACTACATCCCCTCTTGTTAATATATTCTTTAATACATCTTCCTTTCTCTTATTTTATTAGGAAAATGGTAAGAGCAGAGAATGGCACATGATGAATAACTTCATTATACTCCTTTCTTTTTTTTTTTTTTTTTTTTTTTTGGCATCGGGGCATGGGGTAGATTTACTGGGGATTGAACCCAGGGGTGTTTAACCACTGAGCCATATTCCCAGCCTTTTTTGTTTTATTTTGAGACAGGGTCTCACTAAACTGCTTAGGTCCTTGCTAAATTGATGAGGCAGGCTTTGTATGTGAGATACTCTTGCTTCAGCCTCCCAAGCTATTGAGATTATAGGTGTGCGCCACCATGCCTAGTCATTATATTCCTTTTCTTCTCTTTTTCCAAGTGTCTTTCCATACATCACATGTCTTTTAGTTTCACAAAAATATTTCTGGAACAATGATACACTTTCAGAAATGTGAATGTTTCCAGTTAGATTTAAAATAAATATCTCCTATAGTTAAAGAGGTTACATTTGAATAAGATGTGGATAAAAGAAGGAAAGGGAGGGGGAAAAAAGTGGAGAAAGAAACATTGGTTTAGTGTAATTTCTTTGACATGTAGCCTTGAAAAATGGTCACATTTAGGTATTCTTATGCACACAAATAACTGTCTAAAATTCATACATATGGGGAAAATTGACAAAGACATTGACCAAATATAAACTCCTATATATGACTGAACTAACTCACAAGCAACCTTGGAAATAGAATATCAGATAATATACTATAGATTTAACAAATCAAAATAATAAGCTATAGTCAAGTCTTATAGCAGAGGCCTGAAGCCACCCTCTCTGAATAGGAAAAAAAAATGAAAATTCAAATAAAGTAAGTGTAATTCTCAGTGGGAGTATAGAAATCAAGGAAATTCAACTGCCCTCAGCATCAAACATTTTTTGTAAGAACAAAATATTTTCAATGTGGGTTCTCAAAACCTGACTGGCAGAAATTAGAGCAGCAGCAGCAGCAAGGGAAATAAGCAGTTGAGAAGAGGAAGTAATAGTCATATATGGGTCATATATAGGCCAAGTTCTGTCTCTAGATTAAACCAACTATATTACATGGCATTTTGTATATTCCCCTTAAAGAATTTGAGATTATTTTCAAATAAAGGACAATAAAATATTTCATCATATTTTGAATATGTTTTCTATATTTTTATAGTTACATCTGAAATTGAGTCATCTCATTACAGACCAACATTTATTCATTCGATAAATTTTTATTTGTCTACTGAGTGCTAAGTTTATAAGAGTGACTCATACAGCCATGATCCTTACCCTCAATGGGGGTATATATCAAACACAGGAATAGACATTAAGTGAAACAGTACTTGTAGAACAAGTAGAGAAGTAAAGGATGTTATTAAAAAACACAAATAGGACATCTACCATGTCTTGGGGCAAGGGAGGTCCTCCCAGAGCAAGCAATGGCTGAGTTAAGATCTAAATAAAAGGAGATCCAGGAAGTAAAGAGGCAAGGTTACTTCTCAAGAAAAGTAAATAGCACATGCAAAGACCCAGAGATGAAAGGCAGTATGACGTGTTTTAAGTTGTTGAAAGAATTTTTGACCAGCAAAAGAACAGCTGGGGTGGTGGCTCTGTGGTAGAGCGCCTGCCTAGCATGTATGAGGCACTGGGTTCAATTCTCAGCACTGCATATAAATAAATAAGAATAAAGAAGAGAACATCCATTAAAGGCTAAGAAAGAGAAATCTAAAGCAGGAAAATGCGAGCTAATCTATGCAGTATGAATTTCAAAGAGTTAAACAAGCTCACATGTAAACTGACCTAAAATAAATAGACAAAAAGATATTTCTTATTGACCAATTATTTCTAATACCATCAAAATTTTAATAAAATATCAGGAGGTTTGCTAAGTTTATCCTTATACGTTTATTTTAAATGTTGCAGCCATGTTTTGGCTGTGATGCTGGATAAAGGAAAAAAATTCATTTACTCTCTCTGTGGTCAGAGTGTCTTTCCAAGTATCACTTAAAGTTTATAGTTTTGTTTTACACCAGAGAAGGCAGCATTTTTTAAATCTTCTAGCCACACTAGATTAATCAAAATAGGGTGACATCACCAACTGTTCCTAGAGTTTAAACTGTTGTTGTTATTATAGTAACACTTCATTGCAGTTTTGTAATAAAACTGCAATAAAACTGGCACATTCATATATTTCAAGTGGCATTCAACTGTTATCCCACAGAAGAAAGACAATGTAGTCACATGTATTGAATTACAAGTGGTGACACAGTCTTCATTTTTGAGAAGAATTCCTAATAAGTTTATATAATGGAAAAAACTTAAAGAGGCAAAAATTTTATTGGGGAATTTATTTTAAAAAAGGAAAAGTGATGAATCAGATGTTTAATAAGGGAAGGCTATGTCAATTATTGTATATATCTTTTTTTTAAGAAGGCATATGTACATAATGATTTCAACCAAGTGAAAAACTTATTTTAAAAATGACTAGAAATGCCAGGTGTGGTGGCACATGCCTGTAATCCCAGCAGCTTGGGAGGCTGAGGCAGGAGGATATGAGTTCAAAGTCAGCCTCAGCAAAAGGGAGGCACTAAGCAACTCAGTGAAACCCTATCTCTAAATACAAAATAGGGTGGGGATGTGGCCAAGTGAACCAGAGTTCAATCCCCAGTACCAAAAAAAAAAAAAAAAAAAAAAGGAAAGAATCATGATAATAGTTATGATAGGATAACATTTGTTCTTCATTTCCTCAGTTTTTTGTGATACGGATACACTATGCTTAAAAGTTTACATTTTGAAAAAGAACAGCAATGATAACAGATTGCTTTTTTATAGTACATAATTCTTGCCAGGCAATATCATCATAACCCTATAAAGTAAGTATAATTACTATCTTTATTCTATAGTCAAAGGATTGAGATTTTAGAGAGGTTACRTGATTCAATTAAAATCACACATGTAATAAATGATAGAGTCAAGCAGTGAACCAGACAATGTGGCTACAAAAAGCCATCTCCTTCATCCTAAGTACATTTGCTTCTGAAATACATGGACTTGAATACCACATCCAAATTCAAAGAAGCTTTCCCTTTTTCATAAATTAAAAACATCATTACTGATTTCTACAGAACCCTTTTAGGATGGAAATTTTTAGGATACATGGTGTAGTTTATCACATTGGTTGTTAACAGATGGGCAGAAAACACATTTCAATTGCTTTTAATAGACTGCTTTGCTTGTAGGTCAACATGTACAAATTGAGCATTCCTTATCTGAAAAACCTGGGACCAGAAATGTTTTATATTTGGAGTTTTGGCAGGGGTCAGTTGTTTGTTTTTTGGACTATTTGCCTAAATTTTATTGGGTGAGCATCCCTAATTCAGAAATCTGAAATGATTCAAAATCTGAAACATTTTGAATGTCACGTTAAATTAAAAGTTTTAAATTTTGGAACCTATATCACATTCACATTTCATTATCTCCCTTCTCCTTGCTATGATAGTTTCCTGCTCCATTTTCTACTTGCAAAAAAAGGTATGCTACATCTGCACTACATATTATAAAAATTATTTGCTCTAAATCTAGGTCATGAATCAGGCTTTATTATATTATATATATGAATCATCTAGGATTCTTGTTAAAATGCAATTGCTATATTCCATCCCTAGACAGTAGATAGTAGATAACACTTTAATAAACTACTCTGTTTTTATTACTTCTTATTTTGTAAATGTGAAATATTTATCCAGGAAATAAAAATAAAACATTTGCTATTTCTTGTCAAGACTGCCAGCACATTCCCTGTGACTTTTTGTACCTTATTTCTTATAATTAAAGACCAATTCTGTGTGAACGTGAACATACAATCAATCTCATTTTAATCACATCTTGGATATATGATTCATAAAATAAGTTGGCAGGGTATATGCACTGGAAAGTGTAATGTCTGATTTAATCTTTGGTCAGATTTTTTAAATTATGCTATTAGCAATTTCTTTTTTAGGAAGGTATTAGTTATATTCAAACCTGATTTCTTGTCCAGTAGTGATACTGATCGATATTTTGAATAATTTCTTCCATCAGTGACATAGGATATTGGAATATGCCACAGGTAACTGTAAAAAGAAGATATTGTAAGATTATATCTCTTCCCAATATTTCACTTAGTTACACATGACTTCTTGGTTTGGGGGTAGAAAGGAGAAATTTAACCTATTCCCAGAGAAGGATAATCGTGTTAACTTTCATTAGAATGTATGATCACAAAACATTTAAATATACTTCATTTGAGGGTACAAAAGACACAACACAGAAATGAAGAGTATATACCTTGTATCTAAAGGCTGAATTTCAGGCTTCGTATTTAAAAAGAATCTCTCTTGCTGTATGAAAAGTTTTGTTCCTTTCCTTTTAACAGTCACTAAAGGAAACCCTTTCTGCAGGGTCCATGTTTTCATCATTTTCTTTACATCTAGTGTTTTGTTTGTAACCTACAAAAAAAAAAAGAATAAGGTATTTTTACTTAAAGATAAAAAATTAGTTAAAATTTTTAGTTTTATTTGTACCCTTCTCTTGTTCCCAAGCACATTCTATCAAGACAATATTTAATTTTAATGTAAAAAAGAAGCATTAACACTGCATTGAGTTTACACATCTAATTTAGGTACACAAGCAAGTTCTAAAAGAAAAGAACCTGGAACAGAACTGACTGAAAACTGAGGGAGTGAGAGAGGCACTGTGTCAAAAAGCAGCATGAACTAACAGGGTTCATTAAGATAAAAAATTCCTAAATTCCTTAAAATTAAAATTCCTAAGAAAGTAGAAGTGCTCTTTTAGGTTACAATGCTAACATTTAGAAGATATGACTAATGATATGYATTCTAGAATGGAAAAAATTGCTGTTCAATTCTTGAATCAACTAAGGCTAGATTTTCTTCATTCTCCTATGCTCTGGTTTGTGTTAGCCAGGGAGCAGCAGCAGGAGAAGCAGTTGGTTCTCTTGACTAAGTCTCTTTAGAGAATATTGGTAAACTTTTTTGATGGTCACACATATAGTCTTTCCCAGAAAACACAAGAACTTATCTGAAAAATGTAGAATCTATTGTCAGATGTTTGCCGATCTCTAATGCCACTATCCCTATGACTGGCATCAATGTTTAGGAAGCAATTTTTGAACAATTGTCTCTTTAAAGGGTTGAATTTATGATTAAAATTATTTTTCTAGATTACATCTAGATTTGGATTGCTAGCAACTAAGTCACATGCAGATAAATTCATGTTATGCTACTATGCAAACCTTACCTCAATCACCATAAGCCTATTTAAAGCACAAAAGGATAAAGTGATTCTTCCCAAATTCATTGTGATATTACTCTTATATTTCTAGTGGCTCTGGCCTCCTTATTTATGAACCAGAGGGTAGTAAGGAAAGCAACATGCTTTGGAGTGTTTGAAGCAATACTGAAGTGAAGAGCCCAATGCATAATTTGATGTGGATGCTGGAAAAAGCTGAGTATAATGTTATGGACCAGGTTGGGATGGGACTACACTATGGTCCAAAAGTTGGAGTCAGTGAGGAAGACAGAAATATTTTCTAAATCCCAAGAGATAAGATAATGGTTATAAAGTAAAAAACATGGTTTTCAACTGAAATGCTACTATATGATTATAGAATTTGAAATCAAGTGTTAGGTAATAAGAACTGAAACCTTTCAAAAAGAATTCAGAGTAGGGAAGGAATATCTTTTGAGCAAAAACTTAACAGCTAGAAAATACCAGAATTCACATTAGGTAGCAGCAGAAAAAGCATATGGAAAGGAGCCAAAACAAGGGCTCTTAATCCAACATTCATAAAATTTTGAAAATGTGCAATGATTTATGGTTTTCTTAGGAAATATGGCCAGAAATTTCATGCAATATTTCAGAGCATGAAGAACCACTGATCTAGATCAGAGTCAAAAACTAAAATGCTTGTCAATGTTTTGCAGTCAACATACACTCATGCAGCAGGCTAGGTTCACGACTGCTTTAATGCATAACATCTACCTAACTACACTATATATTAGAATATTTGTAGGTAACAAAATCCAAAGGGTTAAACAATCCTAGGGCAGCACACAGTTTGTGGCAGTTAGCCTGTGACATATCATCTACTTAGAGGAATGTGGACTCAAAAGACAAAGAGATTACAGGGGACAATACAGAATGGTGAATGGGAGATTAAAAAAAGAAAAAGAAAAAAAAAACTAGGAAAAGAGATTTTTTAAAAAATCAAATAACAAAGATACAGTAATATCCTTTAAAATGGGATAATTTCCCTTTTCCTAACAAAGTAGGAATGGAGAATAAAGTATGGAAACCCACCCTTTTTTTTCAACAATTAAGCACAGCACTTTCATTTCATGACTTTAAATTCAGTACTGTATTCACAAATATTTTTATGCCAATTGTATAACTGATATACCATAGCCCTCTCTCTTAAATAATTATAAAATACTTTGCAACCACAGACTTATTTGCTTATGTGATAAAAATATAAACAGAAGAGCTCCTACTGTAAGAAGACAGAACTTAAATAAATTATCTGGGTCACTCACCTCATTAAAACTATCCCAGAGATCATCACTTTGAATAGATGCATAGCTATGATTATGCAGGTAAAGAATGATAGCATGTTGAAATACATCTTCACTAAGATAAGTTTTCAGCATCAACAAGAGGGAAGCTCCCTATTTTCAAAAACAAACAAAAAAGTGAGGAAAAAAGAAGAAAACAATAGAATATTATAGGCAATAGAATAAAAAATCTAATATTCAAAACATTCTGAAAATGTACTTTTACATGTTCAATGTAGTTATACTATCTCATAGCTAGATGTGGATTATGTTCAAATGTCTTCAACTTATTTTAAGGAATTTGAAAAAGAATTAATGGAGTTACATATTCATGTGTACTATTTTTTCCATGAGCCATTCTATGTGGTCTATCAGCACACTTACTGTTTCAGTATTAGTGTTGAAATGCTCAGTTTTCATATTTTAATAGAAGAGCATGCTCAATTTTATGTGGCATCCCTATGTCCATCCCCAATTCTTGAAGTGCCAGCTCCATTTGTGAGCATATACTGCTACAGACACAATGAATCAGCAGAATTCCCAAAAGCCTGTCTTCTAGGTAGTGTATTACTTTCTAATTTTAGTATGCCATGTTGCTGAAGTAGCCAGAATCTCTCTTCTTCCTACAGAGTCACTTCAAATATGTACAGAGCAGCAAGCATACACTGATAATTCATAACCAGCCATGCAACTATTAAGACCACACTATATTCACTCATGCACACGTCATCATTCTGGCTCCACCTCCTCTGTAAAGCCTTTCCTTATTTGAAATAGTAATCATTTCTGTCCATCTTCAATAGCAATTTATATTACTTTCTGCATTGGTTATATATTTATTTCCTCTTTTAAGCTGCACACCAGTTGGGGGAATAATTTAAAAAAACTCAACTATAGTAATTAAAACAGAACCTCAATGCCCAGTAATAGGCACTAATATTTTTTGAATGACTTTCACTTCTGATAAAAATATAACAGTATTAATTCATTAAGATTATCAGTACAGGGGCTGGGGCTGTAACTCAGTGGTAGAGTGCTTGCCTAGCATGTGTGAGACACTGGGTTCAATCCTTAGCACCACATAAAAATAAACAAAAATAAATGCAATGCTGTCCATCAGCAAATAAAAGATAAAATAAAAGATTATCAGTACATAGAAATTTAATGCCCTACATTTTATACCTATTATTTTTTCTATAAATTTAAGTACTCATTCTTGTTCCAAAACAATTCCCCTTTTGTCCTATATCACCACCTTTCCTCTCTGTACTGTAGCATTACCATTAACGAAATAAAAACTATTTAGCATTCCTACAAATTTTAAAAATCCCCACCTTTCCTTAACTTCACGCTCTCTCCAGTTATCACTGCATTTCATGCCCCTCCTTCTCTTTTTATAGTAAGACTCTTCAAAAATGTGGTCTGCATTTTCTTTTGAGCCCTCTGCTAGCTGTCACTTCACTGGCAGTGCTCTTATCAAGGTCACTATTAAACTCTTTGGTACCAAACCAAAGTCCATTCTCAGACTCACTTATCAACCCACTGGCAGTATTCCTTGAAAGTCTTTATGCACTTGGCCTTGTGATTTCACTCTTGACTTTCTCCCTATTCCCTGGCATCATACTTAGTCTACTTTGCTGGATCCTTATCATCCCAGTGAGTAAATTTTGGTGTATATCCTGGCATTTTCTCTTTAAATCTCTTTTCTTCTCTATCTAATTTGCTTCTTAGTTGATCTTCTCAACTTCAGGGGTTTTAAATGACTCTGTAATTCACATATATACAACCATATTTCCTCTCTGAATCCCAGACTCATCAAACAGCCAGTTTGGTCCATTTGTATATCTAAGGTGCATCTCATACTGAAAAACTAAACTATTTTTTTTCCTTCTTTCACCAGTTCTACTCCTCCTGTGGTCTTCTCCACTTTAGCAAATGGCAAATACATTTTTTTCCAGCTGTTTGGATAAAAACCTTGTTTTTAACTCTTCTCTTATATTCCACATCTAATCCATTAGCAAATTCTACTGGATCAACTTGTACAAATATTTCAAGTCCAACCATATCTCATCACCTTCACTACTGCCACCTTAGTCCTACTAAAACAACTTCCTAACTAGTGCTCCTGATTCCATGTGCTATTGAAGACTAGAACAATCTTTTACAAATAAAATCTATCATGATTTTTCCTGGATCCTTTTATTTCACTTAGAATAAAACCAAGATTCTTGCCATGGCCTCCTTTTAGACTCTACAATGATCTGATCTCTTATAATTCTTCTGATTTCACTTCTACTTTCCTTTCCTCTTCCTCTACTCCAGATATATTGGCTCCTTGCAGGTGCTTGAACATGGAAAGCAATCTCTCATCTCAAGCTGTATGGGACTCCCCAAGACCAGTCCCAGGTTTGATGATGCACTAGGAGGACTCAGAAAACAAAGCTGACAGTCGTACTCATGCTATAATTTATTACAGTAAAAGGTTACAAAGTAAAATCAGCTAAAAGAAAAGTTGCATGGGATAAAGTCAAGAGAAAACTAGGTTCAAACCTTCAGGAGTCCTCTCCCAGGACAATCATACAGGATATATTTATTGCCTCCAGCAAGACAGGATAACATATGTGAAATATTTTCTACCAGGAATGCTCATTAGTGACTCAGAACCCAAGATACTATCTGTAGAGGTGTCCTCTACCTGGCATATATCAAAATTCCAGACTCAAGGAAAGGCAAGAATGTTTAGCATAAACAACATTGTTGGTACAACTGAGGGCACATGGAATGATAAAAACTTTTTCAAAATCCAGATTCCCAGATGCCAGCCAAGGGCCAGTCTTGCAAGCAGATTTTTGAAAAGATAGCAGTCTCATTCCTGCAACATTAACTCTTCTCTGTACACAAACTCTATACATTGGTTACTTCTGCTTGATACATTCTTCCCCTCAAAATTCCTCAAATAGTATACAAATACCACCTCTCAAGTGGTTTTCCCCAATTGTGGTATATAGACCAACATTTGCTTTGTTACTCTCATTTCCTTACATGTTTTATTTCTGGTATCATAACACCTGTTTATTTATTCATCTGTATAGTGTCTGTCTCGATCTTTGACCCCTGAAATGGAAGCTTCACAGAAACTAGTCTAGCTTGTTTCCTGTGGTATCCCCAGAACCCAGAACAATAGCTGGTGTAAGGTTGGTACTTGTAAAACTTGCTGCATGAATGAATCCTCATAAGATACCTCCATTAGTACCTGGGTTTGATGATTATAAGAACAAACAGAACATGTTTGTCAAACACATTCCCTACTGTCATTTACTTTTTTTTACACAAAATATTGATAATTACTCAGTTTCCTGCTTTTCTCAATGATGGGAGATATTTGCCAGATTTTCATTCTGAAACAAGTAGTTACCATATCAATAGAGGTTAAATATGCTGTGGAAACAACATGACCAGGAGATAATGAATTCTGGATTTGGAAGGAAGGTACTGGAGGCAGACAGAGCTCTGTCAATACATCCTAAAATAACTGCTCTGTTTAAGTTCTATATTAAAGGCAGTATGTTCTATACAACAACAGAACCACAAGTTTAAAATTTTTCCTTATTGAAAGTTCCAGAATAGGTTTTAAAAATTACTGCAGTAGGGCTGGGGATATAGCTCAGCTGGTAAAGTACTTGTCTCACCTGCACAAGGCCCTGGGTTCAATCCCCAGCATCACACACACACACACACACACACACACACACACACACACATATCACTGCAGTAGCTTTAACTGAAATACAGTAATTTCCCCTATCCACAAGGGATACTTTCTAAGACCCACAGAGGATACCTGAAACAGTAGATAGTACCAAACCTTGGGTATACTATGCCTTTTCCAATATATACATAACTATGATAAAGTTTAAATTATAAATTAGGCCTAGTAAGAGATTATCAGCAATAAAAACTAATAATAAAATGAACAATTAGGATAATGATAATATACTGTCAATAAAACTTATGTGAATGTAATCTGTCAAAATGTCTTATTTTACAGATCTTAGCAACTTCAGCACATAATTTGTTTTCTTTCTATATTAAGTTAAGAAGGTTCGTCTTTTCACTCAAAGGAAGCACTATGGTGTCTGTTTTGTACATGTGAATTGCCAGCACCACAACTCTTGTGCATGGGGCCACTATAAAGTAAAATAACGGTTACTTGAACACAAACACTGTGATACTGTGTAGGTGATCTGATAACTAAGATGGGTATTATGTTACTAACAGTTAGCATACATAGTGTGAACACTCTGAACAAATGGATGATTCACACCAGGACAGCATGAGATTTTATCACATTACTCAGAATGGTGTGCAGTTTACAACTGACAAATTGTTTATTTCTGGAATTTTCCTTTTAATGTTTTTTCAAGCACCATTAACCACAGGTAACTGAAACCATGGAAAGTAAAACTGCAGATAAAGGGAGCCTATTATATATTTAATATGGCTAATGAAACTCCTGATTTTCTTGTTAGCAGTACTAATTCTCACAGTCAGGCTTGGCCTTGGGAAACATTTTTCTGCCTCCTTCTTTATCTGTATTAACCCATCACAAAGTCCTTTAAGTACTTACCCCAACTCAGTTTTTCATGCCCATTGTTTTCTATCTACTCTTACTACCATACCTTATATATATCTTTTACATTACATGCCTAAACTTCAGCAGCAATTTCCTGACTTAAGGGTTCCCCTCACTTAAATCTACTTTATAAACTAAAAAACCAGTTTAATTTTTCTAAACAATAACTTTAATCAAGTAATTCTTCTGTTCAAAAATCTTCTGAAGCTTTCCACTACATACAGAAAAAAACATCCGGACTCCTGATGGCATTCAGGAACTTCTGCAACTGGGCCTTGCTACCTTTCTCATCTTTCTGTACTCCACATGTGGCTTCCACTGCAGTCATATGTTATCTCTAAATAAGCATTTCTTGCCTGACAGTGGTCCTGACTTTTTCTTTGTAAACCCCATTATTTCATTCTTGTCCTACCCTGTTTCTCCCATTCCTGTTAACCAGTATTGTATTGTTATTATTTAACTCATTTGAATTCCCATTTTCCTCCAAAGAATCTCTCTTCAGCATCCCAAGTAAAAAGTTTCTGTATCACTTCAGCATACATTATTTCTCTTCCTGGTCCACAAATACCTCCTAAATTTTGAGTTTTTTGATTATATGAATTATATCTTAAGTTTTATGTATTTTCTTCCCTCTTTACTGCAGGAATTTATTTATTTATTTATTGTTGTGCCAGGGGTACTTAACCACTGAACCACATCCCCAGCCCTTTTCATTTTTAAATTTTGAAATAGGGTCTCACCAAGTTCCTTAGGGCCTCACTAAATTATTGAGGCTGGTTTTGAACTCTTGATTCACCTCCCTCAGCCTTCTGAGTTGCTGGGATTACAGGTATACAGCATTGCATCCAGCTCTATTGCAGGAATTTATTAACTAATTAATTCAAGAGCCAAAATGAGGAGGTAAATAAGCCATAACATTTACCCCTGCCCTCAAAACAATGATGCTGATAGCTTCTTGATTTCTTTGTTCTCTTATAGTGATCCTAATGGGATTCCTAATTTTTTATATTTTCTTCATCCCTGAACCTAGAGCCTGTTTCTTTTTGATCCTGCATTATAATCTTCAATAGTTAAAATGTTTTTTTGCTTACTTGTTTTGGTAATCCTAACTTTAGAATATCCCTCAATGCTGAGTAACACAACTCCAGGCTTACTTAGGTCCTTTTCTGAACATGTTCTATTTGCAGATCTGTAGCATAAATCAACTTTGAAGGATGTATTGCTACATAATATTGGTAACTGCCTGGAGAACTAGTCACAGAACTTTAAAAAGAGACAGATAAAGGAAACCTCATAAAAAGTTAAGACTAAAATTTCAATAGATACAAATGCTAAAAATTTAAACATTTAAAGTTTAGCAGGCTATCTGAAAATAATATTCACTTAATTTTTAAAATAATTTAAATCATGCAACTGGCTGACATTATGAAATTAACTTGAAGCCTACTGCCGTTGCTTTCTTTCTGCGTAGCAATACCTTAAAATAGGAAAGAGAATCAAACATCTCTTCAATTTGTTCTGAAGACTGAACAGATGATGATATTGGATGAGATGAATTCAACGAATCTTTCTTCATGGTTTTAAATCGAGCGTCTAAGAAATCTTCATACTAGTAAAAAATTAAACAGATTAGGATATCATGAATGTATCCAAGGCAAAGGTTAAGTACAGCAGTTATTGATATTATTGCTAATTATTACTAAAAGTCATGATGAAAAAACAATTGGCTACGCTAAATTTCAGAATATAAACTTTTGAAAATCCAGAAAGATTATGACCTCAATGCACATCCCTTAAATTTAAAAGTATAATTATAACCTAGTCACAAGAAAATCAGCATTTCCTGAACAGAATACAGATGAGTTAAGAGCCCATTACTAAAGTAAACAAATGCCAAATATGAGTATCCAAGATAAATATTCTAAAATGGCTAGAGTTAATTTTTAAAATAAAAACTGAAATTAAAAAAAAAACTTGGTCTTTAAACTGGTTTCTCATAGATAGTACAGGATTTTTAACAAGACAATATACATTTCTCTTAATTGAGAGCCAATTAAAGTAAAATATCTCTTAAACAGTAGGAACTCTTGATAGTTCAGCAGATGAGCTCCCAAAGAATACATATTAGGGGGTTTTCAAAATTCTGGGCACCACCAAGTGGTGAAACTATATATCTCATTGCTTAATTATGTAGGGTATACAAATTCGGAATGCCTTATTTTTCTAGCTAAAAATTAATTCTTTTTATTTGAAAATTTTTAACAAGTCCTAAACAAAAACTTCAGATTGAAAGCTCAAAGAACACTTCTTGCTTTAAAGCAGTCTTGACTCATTTCTCCAGGAAGTTTAACAGAAAGTCACTGAATTTAAGGGTTGAAAAAAATATTTACACTTTTCTACTCATAGCTTGAATTATTTTGGCAAAATATGGCACATCATGGCTTAATGTTTTCAAATGTCCCTAAATTCAGAATATCTCCAGAGTCTAATAACAGTGACAACATTATTAGGTCTATCATGGAAGGATATTCCACATTTTGGGGAAATACAAAATATGGTCTGTACCATAAAAGGACAAATTATCTGTTTGTATGAAGTTATATATTGCTATTATAAGAATGTATTCATGTAGTGACAACAGAATGATATAATTACTACAAAATGTCTTAATTTTCTTCTCTCTTTATAGACGAGATAAAAAAAAAAAAACATTTTGCTTTGCAAAAAAGGCTTTTCAACCTTATCTAAATCCCATCAAGCAGAAGAGCCATACCTGTTAAAAACAGAATGTAGGAAAGCAATTTAAAATATTCATTTTAATTACAAAAACATATAAACTTACATAATTTCAGTAAAACATATCAATAAAAGTGTAATTTTCATTGTCAAATTTCCAAAAAGGTATGGATATCATTAACAAGGATGAATTTTAGTGTAGTTTTCTAGAAACATTTTCATTTCTACAAATGCAAAGAAAACATAACTTGACTATTTTTCCACTTAGCATTCCAAGTAATACAAATATTATACTTACACTGGAGAGCTCTTTGAATACTTTTTCCAAAGAAAAATACTCCATGAAAGTGGCGAAACCTTCATTTAGCCATAGGTCATTCCACCACTGCATTGTTACCAGATTACCAAACCACTGTGGGAAAAATAAAGTCCCAACCAACATGATAATTACATTCTCAGGAATATTCAAAAAACTGGCTGAACTGTCATATTAACTGTCCATAACCAGATTAAGATATCTTAAAAATATATTGGTAATACAGTTCAAACAAACTATACTTGAATTAATCAGAGATTTGTAAAAGTTGTGTAAATTTCCTTTATAAGTAAAATAAAACTTTTAATATTTTACCTTAACTGAATGGGAAAAAAAGCAAGAAAGAGTACTAATATATTTATTAGTATATTCATTAATTTTAAAAACGGGCTATATAACATGCCAAATAGGGATATAAAAACTTTCTTAGCTACCTCATGGAAATGAGGTTTTCTAGATAATGAAACTGACTTTCTAATATTAAGTTAATAGTATTATTTTCTATTATATCTACAATACAGGTTAACTAAGGAAGTTTCTTTCTATGTGAGAGCTTTTCCTATAGTCAGGGRGTCCATGCTTTAGGTTTCTCCTCAATTGGCCAAGTCAGAGATAGCATTTGCATGATTCAAACCTGAATTCAAACAACATTCTTTAAGAAAGTTGCCATTTATATAAACAGATGAAATTGGGAACATCTTTAAACGTCTTCTTCTATGCGGTAATAAAAAGAAAGAAAAGAATAATGAGACTCCCCTAAAAAAATGTATGTTAAAAATCTTTGAAATAAAAAGTGGTTGTAGGGTGTGCAATTTAGCTAAGGTAGCCTATGATTTATTTAAAATTAGCAGCAAAAATCAAGTTGCAAGATACTAAAACAAAACACTTTACAGAATTATAACAGAAAATTTTCTAAAACTTATGCTAAACCCTGTTTCACTGGAAGATGTTTTATAAGTCCTAAAGAAGAAATAAGAGAGAAATTACTCCCCAAGTGGCAATGGCTAGCCCTGGAAATAATAGATGTAGAAGAATCCACAAAGACACCTTTTATCTATGGCCCATTTATAACAGTGAATAAATGCTTCATATTCCAGCTTGCCAAGAAGTCTTCACGAGGGCTACCAAGTCCTACACAGATGTGTAGGTAGACAGTAAGCAGACCAATTCCTTTCCTGGTCTTCCTCCACAAGGGGCCCCTCATGACACCCTGAACCATACAAAATCCTGGCAAGGACTCCACATCCAGAGCCCAGCAGAGACAAAGTATTGAAGAAGAGGGCACGTTGTATACTCACAAAATTTTCTTTCTTTTTCTCTGTGTCATACAAAGATGCCTTCACACTTTACTCAGAACCTCTCTCTCCTACATTAACACAGAACCCCATTCTAGTAGAAGAAGAAAAATTAAATCTAGTCCTAGCTGTGGATTTAAGAGTTGTCAGAGAAAGTGCAATTTAGGGAACCCACCTACAAAAAGTTACACTGAGAAGCTATAAATTGTTAGGGAAAAAGGGTCTCAAAGAGATAGTGACTTCAAGCCCAAATGCTACTACTTATTAGCCATGTGACTTTGGGCAAATCATTTATTTAAGCAGATTCTCAAGTTTCTTCATCTGTAAAATGAGATTATTACAAATCTTGAGGTATTATAATGCTTTAAACATCCTATACAAACAAAAACATTTTCATTTGGAAATTAAATTTGTGCTAAAAAGTGCCTTTTTATTATAAGAGAAGGTAATATTTTTTTAAAAAGCTGAATAATTAGTARCATCTACATGTACTCTAAAGCTCTAGTATACGAAGTAGACACGATTATAAGATATAAGAGCACTGGTTGTTAATACCTGATGGGCCAGTTCATGAGCAATGATTTTAGTGACCAGTTTTCTATCTGTCACCGAAGAAGTATTATTGTCATACAGAAGAGTCTCTTCTCGGAAGGTTATCAAACCCCAATTTTCCATTGCTCCTGCTTCAAAATCAGGAATGGCCACCAAATCTAGAGATAACAGGGAAAAAAGTTATCAACTTTTCCTCATATAAGGCACACCCCCTAATTAAAACAAAATATGTTATTCATTGGCTTATCATGGTGAAGACAGTGAGTTATTTTTATATTCCTTAGAAAGTGGAACCAACCTTATTCCTTTTTTTTTTTTTTTTTTTTTTTTGGTACAGGGATTGAATTCAGGGATACTCAACTACTGAGCCACATCCCCAGCCCTATTTTGTATTTTATTAGAGACAGGGTCTCACTGAGTTGGCTCAGTGCCTTACCCTTGCTGAGGCTGACTCTGAACTCCTGATCCTCCTGCTTCAGACTCCCGAGCCACTGGGATTACAGGCATGCACCATCCTTATTCTTGCTCTCCATACTCCTTAACTAGTTGTCAGCTAAGAAAGATTTGACCTCCTTTCAGGTGACTCACTGTCCCTTACCAAAGGAAAAAAAAATGCCTCCACAACCAATCAGCTTTCTAGAGCAAGAAGAACAAAATTCAGGGCCCATCCATATTGAGCTCTCTAGGAACAGCTCTACATTGAAAAGTACTAAAATCCTCTTGCTCTCCTGATTTCCCATTATGCAGTTTTTGTTATTTGAATTACAAAATTTCTTGGAAGTCAGTCAAATTTCAGACTAAGCCCTTAAGCTAATTGCACTTACATAGTACCTTTGCGACAGCCCCATAACCTATAAGTGTTTTAAGCTCCAAGTTATTTATATTCATAGAATGTAAATAATTTAATAATTATAATTTTTAAAGCATTAACAATGTTTCTGGGCTTTTAAAAGCAACTTTAGTAAAAACTATCTCTAAAAAACATTTGCAATACAAATCTTTATTACAATTGCAGTAAAAATCAGAAGTGTGGTGATTCTTACCCAATTTTTTAAGTGGATATTGAATTTCAAAATAGTTTTGATAAAACTCAAGAAGCTTCACAGTTGTTTCCAAGGCATGGTGAACTTGACCAATCTTTTCTGGCACAGTGTATATCGAAACCTAAAGGGAAACATTATATGTGATATAAGGAGAGATACAATTAAAATGCCACAATATTCAGGTGAGCACTGTCAGGACTGGCATACCTAAGAAATATACAGTTGTATGAGATATTTTAGGACAGAAACTCTTGCTTACAATTCTTTTAGTCTCCATAGAGTTTAGTAAGTCCCTTCCATATATACAACAATGTTCAAAAAATACCTTACTAATTCCTTTTCTTTTTGAAACTCTCATAACATCCCAAGTAAATTAGGTTTGGTCATTTTATAGTAGTTTATAAGCACTTGCCCATTAAATTTTTTGATATTTGTCTTCTCCCATTACTTGCAGTTCTTTCTTTACTTACGAACTATGAAGAGCCTTAGATTTCAGTTTCATTTACATTCACATCATATGTATTTAACTTTTATCTTTTCAGCGCCTATCATAGAGACTGACATCTAAGATGCAAGCACTAAATACAGAGGAGTCACATATTGCTAGTAGAGTTAACTCTCAAGTTTACATACAAAATAGAAATTGCAGATTTATTGAAATTATATTGTAGAAAACTGATTATAAATCAAAATATTCTCTTTCAAAAGTATGGCCACAATTTTTCTTTCAGTCTGGGACAACTTATTCTCTTTGCTTTTTTTCATTCGGGGCTTGTTTTTATGTCCCATTTTTTATATTTATATATAAATCATGTAAAACACATTTTGATGGCACACAGTAAGTGAAAACAACAGTTCATGTGTCTCATTGCCCATTCACTGCAGGACATGTGCTAAGTGGGAAAGAAGACAGAATCACCTGTATTATTTAAATGGGTATTTTCTCTTTTATGGGTTAAATGCTAAGTTAAATACATACGATGTGACTGTCAATGAAACTGAAATCTGATGAAAGGGTTCATTTATTCCCATTTCCGGAATAAAATGATCATAAAAAGAAGGTACTTCGGTATTTTCTCTTCCTTTCTACTTCTTTTTCTTTTCCTTAAAAGAACATAGCTAAGAGTTCTTACTAGAAATAAATCATCTTATCATTATAATTATTATCAAGCTTGATCTAAGAACAACAGAAGCAGTAAAAAATAAACAAAGGGGCCAGGGTTGTGGCTCAGCAGTAGAGTGCTCACCTAGCATGTGTGAGGTTCTGGGTTCGATCCTCAGCACTACAAATAAATAAATAAAATAAAGATATTGTGCCCACCTATAACTAAAAACAAAATTTGAAAAATAAAATAAAAAATAAACAGAGCAATCTATCTTAGCAAAGAAAGTCTTGAATAGCATTCTTGCCTTTGTAAGAGAATTCTAAACATTTTTGAATGGGGGCTGAGGGTATGGCTCTGTGGCAGAGAGAGATTTAGCATGCCTGAGATTTACTGTTGCTCCCCAACACATAAAACAATCCCCCCCTCAAAAAAAACATTGTTAAATGGAAATCAACTGAGACTCAGGTCTCAAGACTTACAACTTAAAACTTCTTGCCCAACATCTTACAAGGACCTTATGGGAGATTTCTGAAAACACAACTATAAATATCCTTGATCAGCTCCCAAAGAAAAGGACTCTTTAAGATTGAGGAATAAAAGATTTTTTAGGTTCAATTTATCAGTTTTTTAAATTATTAAAAATGAACATTGTTAACAAAAGCAAAAGCAGAATCAAGTTTCAGCCCCACCCTCCACCAAAACAATACTATGGACTGCAAGTTGTATAGGGACAGAAAATATTAGAGGTTTCATACTAAATTTTCTGAAAAATGCTGACTTTCCCAAACAAATAACTGAACAACAAAAAAGCATACATTCCTAAAATAAACAAACAGAAATAAGACCATTAAAAATGATTGATTAGATGGGAAAGAATAATATGAATTGTGCATAATGTCCCAGGCTGGTGGAAAGACACTTGAGGTAGAAAAGTTTTTTGAGGAAATTTTGAACAGAGTCATGTTTCTATGAATATTAAAATTCTAACCACATGGATAAAACAGTTGAAGATTCTTTTAAATGTGGAGAGACACCACATGGGATTAATCATGATTAAATTTTGCTTCTAGCAATTAGTCCTGTATACAATAAAAATGAAGGCAGGCAGTGCAGTGGCAAAAAACAAAACAAAACAAAAACCTCAAGACAAACAAATAAAACAGTACATTTACAACTGGCCTAGAATTTTACAGGTAATTCTGGCATTCCTAAAGGCAGGGAGAGATTTAAGGAATGAAGAATGAACAGAAATAACAAATATTCTTTTTCAAGCCTCTGACATAGTCTTTATTATTACAGGTCACATGTAATAATCTACAGTCAACCGTGACTTTTTAGTTGCTTGGTAAGATTCACATTAATAAGAAAATCCCTATTGCCTTAATCCTTAACCTTGTTAAATTGAACTCGTGTCAAATATTATAAAATAGAAGGCAGTCTAAAGATTACAACATTTTAGCATAACAAAAATCCTTTGCTACACTCCAAGTTTTGAATAGTTCTGGTCACTATGTCTACATTTGTTATTCATGTAATTTGGTATAAGACACAACATAGCTATTGGATAGTAAAATTTTGACTATAACTTGATATGCCATCTCAGGTCAATCTAACTTCTATGATTTCCTCATCAGTCACATGGATCTAATGCTTCATCCTCAGTCAACATATAAAATTTAAAAAAATGTTTATAAACAAGTGCCCACAATTAACATACAGAATTATTCCACATGTTACATTCTTCCATATTTCCTAAAAAAACAGAATAAATTAATAAAATTATTGTTTATTTGTTAATGTTAATTCTTAAAAAACACATTTACTACTGGGTAGCACTAAAAATGAGAATATTTATATCTCATGCAAAAGATTCAACATATGATAAAAATAAAATGTACACTATTTATATATATTATATCTATAATAAATGGTTGTGTATCTGTGTGTGTATATGTGTGTGTGTGTATAATATTAGAATTGTAAAAGGTGATGTTCAGAGGATTAGAATGTAGTCTTCTTAAGGGTTAAAAGTTATTAAAGTGCATAAGAGGGATTTTAATCCAGGAAGACTCTAGGGTTCATATTTAACCACCATGTTTCTTCCTATTCCAAGCAAAAGGAAAAAAAAATTCAACTTATATCTTATATTCTTCCCTCTCAATCTCTTTCTTTCTACACACACACACACACACACAAAATGAGGCATATATGTGTGTTATGAATAATTTATCTTGGCTGTATGGGAGAATTAACATTGGAGCAACTGGAAAGATAGTTGAGCTTTGTAAGGGCAGCCTTGAATATCAGAATATCAGAATGATGAATTTGAATGTCATCCTACAGGTAGTAAGAAGCCAACATAGAAGATGAAAGGCGAGGCAAGAATGGAAGTAGGGGAGGAGGGAGGGAAATGGGGGACTTTATTTTTATTTTTTTTTAATACCTTTGTTTTATTTATTTACTTTTATGTGGTACTGAGGATTGAACCCAGGGCCTCACACATGCAAGGCAAGTGCTTTACCACTGAGCCACAACCCCAGCCCCAAATGGGGGACTTTAAAAGAGCTTTTTATTCTTCTTTATTTATTTTATGTGAAAATATTCACTATATTAGGTCTATGCTATAAAATTAGAGTATGAAAATATAATCAAATAATCATTTAAAATGGGTATTAATGACAAAGAAAAACAGAATTACTTTACTAGAATGAATTTTGGCAACATATAGATAAATTAGACCCTTAAAAATCTTACTCATTTTCTATGAATAAACTCAATAAGGATTTGCTTTTCTTCTTTCATTCTTTCTTTTTTAAATGTTTTTATTAGTGCATTATAGTTACACATAATAACACAGTTCATTTTGAAAAAATTGAATATGGAATATAACTTGTTTCACTTCAGACCCCAGTACTTCCTCTTTCCCTCTCCTCCTCAACTATTTATTTATAGTTCTTTTWAAATTAGAGCTTTATAGATATACATAAAGGTGAAATTCACTGTGGTATTTTCACAGATGTACATAGCATAGTTTGGTCAATTTCATTCTGCAGTTCCTCCCTTTTCCCATCTMTCCTTCTCCCTTAGTCCCCTTCCTGTGCTCCACTGATCTCCCTTCTATTTTCATGAGATTTTCTACCCTTGCCTTTCCCCCCTTATTTTGGTTTAACTTCCACATGTGAGAGAAAACATTCAACCCTTGACTTTTGGGGTCTGGCTTATTTCACTTAGAATAATGTTCTCCAGTTACATCCATTTACCAGCAAATGCCATAATCTCATTTATGGCTGTTGATGGTACCTGGGCTGGTTCCATAACTTGGTTACTGTGAATTGCACTGTTATAAACACTGATGTGCCTGTATCACTATAATATGCTSATTTTAGACCTTATGGAGAAATACCAAGGAGTGGAATAGCTGGGCCATATCCATTCCTAGTTTTTTGGGGACTCTCCATATTGCTTTCCAGAGTGGTTGTACTAATTTGCAGTTCCACCAACAATGTATGAGTGTATCTTTCCCTCCCCCCATCCTTGCCAGCATTTATTATTTTTGTATTCTTAATGATTGCTATTATAATGAGTGGGAGGTGTTTTTTTTGTTTTGTTTTTTATTTTTATGTTGGGGCTGAGCCCCACTGACCAATAAATACCTGGATGCCAGGGTTTGCTTTTTTTAAAAAACAGCATCTGTCTAATCATTTCAATCTACGAAATATGGTAGCCACAGGAACACTACTATAATACTTGAAATGTGGCAAATAAAACTGAGAAAATGGATTTTAAATTTATTTAACTTTAATTTACATCTAAATAATTATATAAGCCTAGTGACCACTATATTGTACAGTTCTAGAAACTTTAGTAATGATGTTTTACTAGATTTCTCTTATAAATGAAGAAACTTGAAAATTATTTACTTTCAGTTATTAAACCAATAGTAGAATTAATAATAAATAAAACAATATTTGTGGTATAAAATGTCTGAGCATGATCTAAAAGCTTGCTTCTCTTCATAAGACCACCACAAGGAATCAATAAAGCCAGAATTCCTCTTAACCCACTCTGAAACAGGCTTTCGGACAATTACCACATCAACATACCAGGGTTCCATTTACATCCTGACTCAGGTTCTTCATCTCTCCCACAATGAAAGCAACCAGGTAAGTACTCATCTTCACACTCTCACAAAACTCATCCTGAACAAGTCCATCTTCCATAAGGACTGATGACTTCTACAGGCAAAGAGAAAAGAGGACAGTTCTGTAACTGCAGTAATGAATTACAATGACAAAGACACTGAGAAACTGAACATTCATATAGGAAATAAGAAGTGAAGATACTAGCATATTTTAATCTCAGCATGAATTTCCAGACAGAGCATCGCCCTTAGTCTCAGTTTGTTCTACCATCCTTCGTAGTGAGGACATACTGAGTACAGCAAAATCCATGAATTTTTAGCTCCAAGATGGCTTTAAATAAATATAAGTAGTTGTTTTTCATCTTTAAAACTTCATTAAAACACAAATCTTTCTATACAACCTAGGAGGGTTCCACTTTACTGCTATAAATAAATCCATAGAAGCAGAAACTACATCTGGGATATCCCTTGAATGATGTAAAAGGCTTTGTAGAGTGCCATGTTGAAGACTCCTATAAAGACTTAGTGGGCTGGAAGATGGTGAGTCACAAATCCTGCAACTGCAGGATTTCCCAACCATGATACTAAGCAAGTTGGCATCCACCTCTTACAGAAAAAGACTAAGGTGAGGAGTATGGCTCGAAGTGGAGCTGTTGGAGTACAGTCTTAGTTAAGGACAGACCATGTTGGCTGCTGCCTAGAGGGGTGGGCTCCATGACTTGCTGGGTATGGCTGCTCCTCCCCACTAGCCACATGGGTTCCAGGAGGCTTCTATCAGGCCGCACACAGTCCCTCAGGTGTCTGAGACAACCAATGACCTCATGATTCTATTTAGAACTACTCTAATTGATTTCACCCCACTGCTTCAGGAAAGAGGCTCCTATTCTTGTTGTTGACCTCCAAATTACAAGGATGTTAATTTTTTCTTTACTAGTAAAATTATAAGAACAATTTTGATTAAATAAAATCAAATAACACTGTTTTGAATAGCAAATTCACTGTCTCTGATCTTGTACTACTTCACACTATTAATACCAGCACAACTTCAGTACACTTTGCATTTCCTACACCTACTTTCTAGGTCCAGCAGATCTTTCTCTTTCAAGTGCTCCACAGGCTGACTTCCCAACTGATTCCAACTAATATCTATATTCAAACTTATTTAAGTATTTTAAGTAATTCAAGTGTGTTTAGAGAAAGAGAGCAAAAATCTTTCATTCAAGGAACACACAGTACCTTAGGCATATTTGATAAAGCAGTGTATTGCTCATCCCTTATGATCCTGATGATAAATGTGGCCTTAAATGCTGGTTCATCAAAGCAAGGAAAAGCAGATCTTGCTGCCAGGGGTTCAAACTGAGTTGCTGCAAAGTACCTAAAACAAATGCAAATTCAATCCAAAAGTTATTGACCATCTACTATACAAAGGCATCCTGCCAAGTACTAGGGGTGTTAAGATAAATATGGTACAATCCAGTCCCTAAAGGACCCACAATCAACTAGGAGAGGTAGAGGTTTATACAATACACAGAGGTATATCAAGTTGTAAATCATGTCCTGGCAGTAAAAAAAAAAAGCAGTGGGACAAGGGGTAGGAAACAAATTCTGACTAGTAGCTAAAGACACTCTAAGGAAACTGGTACAAAGTCTGAAGAGGGCCTTAAAACATGGATATTTGAGCAGGCAGAAAATGGAAGAGAGTAGACTCAAGGAAGACTGGACAGCACAAGGAAAGAGAACAAAGTATGTCCATGGACTAGGGAAGCTGCTGAGTGTAGTTAGAAATGAAGCCAGGAAGGTAGGCTGCAGCTGGCCATGGAGGTCTTGGACAGGTGTCTGATGGAAGATCAATATGAAGGGTTGTCATTAATTGCCACTAATCTTTTGTACAGACTTTGGCTTCACTGAACTAAACTTCAAGTTCACAGATTACATCCTGATCAAGACTGAAAAATCTAGCTGTCCTGTAGTATTATGGTTTCCTTTACTCTCAGAGATGAATCAAAAATTTCCTCCCTCCCACACAGTAGCAACTATTAAGGCTATGACACATATAAAGTCCTCAATTATAGGCTGGGAGGAAAGTATAAAAAGACACAGGGGGGAAAATGCAGATTTCCAATTAGGTAAAGAAATAAAACAAATCTCCATTTGGGAGATTATCCAAACAGCCATAAAACAATCAGGGCAAGTATGCCCCTGTGGTGCATTCCCAGGCCATAAGGCATATTTACAGCCACTGTGTAGCAACCTTTCTTGTTTGGGGTTTAGTTTTCACTGTCAGATGATAAGTAAAAAAGGAGCAGTGTGGAAAGTGGAGTCTGAAGACCCAAACTCTACAATTTCCCAGCTATGTAACTTTGGGCAAATCAGTGACAGGATTCCCTTCCAAACACCCAAGGTATTTGAGAGAATTACATAAGACTAATCATAATAAAAACTATTTATATGCCACAAAGTCCTATATTAATGTTTATTAAAAATACTAGATCACCACAATTCTTCTTCCACACTTAAAATTACTGTATTTTTTTTCTTGGTAAGTGTGTGCCCAAATGACTGTTTCTAATTGGGTAAGCTGCAAAAAAGATAGCAATCAACATATGTGAAACAATATAAACATATCAGTGTTCTAACATTCTATTTCTTTACCTTGCCCCCAATGTTCTTACCTAGTTAACAGAAGGACCACAAGGGACCAGGGAATAAAGTTTTATGTTATCTCTACTACTATTTAGACAGGAGCCTACTTATGGATTAAAATTAAATCATAACACTCTAAGACAAATAAAACCTTAGATTACTATTAAAAGAGATGGAATTATAACTATCTCATACAAAAGTCTCTTTGGGAAAGCTGCTTCTTAATGATATTATAATCTGTTCTATATAGGCTGAATACGTTGAAGCACATTCTTTTATTGGTGACTATGTTTGCTTTCAGAAAGTTAGTTTCAGAGCTTCCTCAAGTAATGCTCAAGACAATTAACAAATTAGGTGGTGGTCAGGTAAGAGAATTCTAAGTACTAGGGATAACAATGTACAAAGGAAGTGTATACTAGGGAAGCAATATATCGCAGTGGCTAAGAATGTCCCACTGTCATTCAAATGACACTGGTTTTTAGTTCCCACTCTGCCATCTGCTAGCCATAAATGTCAAATGAGTTGCTTTATGTGCCTCATTTTCTTCAGTTATACAATGAATATGTTAATATCTACTTCTTAGTGGGGTTGAAAGGATAAGAGGATAAGGGGATAATGCAACAGTTTCTGCACTTCAGCTCCCAGTAAATTGGCTTTTATTTCATTGGATTTTCAGGAAAGTACACACGAAGTTTAATACAGCAGGTAAGAGCTGTGAGGAAAACAAGGGCCAGAAATGAAAGGCCTTGAACTAAATCACTTTAGAAATGAGGAACTGCTGAAGGATTATAAGCCAAAGATCAGGATGGTCATCTAAACTTATAGAAACAAATACAGAAATATGAGTAAGCATAGGAACAAATCAACATCAGTATGAAAAAATGGGGGCTGTGGGGAAGATTGTAGTAATATTACAGATCAGGAGATCTGTTAAGAGGATGCTTCAAGAGTTCAAGAAAAAGACTGACGGATGAAGAAACAAACAAAATAACTTCCATCTTAAATTTGTCTGCTAGTTCTTTTAGTATCATTTTGTCACCTAGAATCTTAAGTCTGTCATCAACAATTTCTGTTTAACTGCAAGGTTACTACTCACTGTCCCCTACTTAGAGCACACAGGTAGTTTCCTTACCACACATAGTGGCCATACATGGTGTTACATACGTGCTGATTTTCTAATTAAGGAATATATATCTTAATTACTTTATCTACTAGTTTAAATATTTTTTTCTAATTATACATCAAAGAAAGTATAAAAACTTTTCCAGTAGAACTAAGCATAATCAAAAGTGAAAGAAAAAGAAAAACTGCTCAAAATTATAAGTAAAATGTATAAATAATAAAATATTAAAAGGTATAAATAATCTTCTAAACTTGTACCTTTACCAAGATATCATGTAGGGCCTTCATTACTCTAACAGGTAAGTTAATGAAYCTACATTTTTATAATAGTGGTTTCAGAGCTTCTTCAAGTAATGCTCAAAACAATTAAATTAGGTGGTGGTCAGGTAAGAGAATTCTAAGCGCTAGGGATAACAATGTACAAAGGAGGTGTAAACTAGGGAAGCAATGTATCACAGTGGCTAATTTATTTTAAGACTTTAAAATACTATTTTAATACTGTATTTTTTTAATTTTGAGAAACCATGTTCCATTTTTCTAGCATGTTCTACATGGATTTGTTTATCATTGGATTTTCAGGAAAGTGTACTTGAAGTTCAATACAACCAGTCCATGGTAAGAGTCAATAGTCATACCCAAAATCACCTTACTCTGCTACATAACATTCATGCTTCCCATCATATAGTAATAGGCCCAAGGACTCTGAGGCAATGATCTAATCAGATGAGATGGTTAGGGGCTTGCACATTAAGTCATTCTTTTTACGTACATCCAATATTTTTAGGGATCATGATGACTATAAAAAGGAGACTAAAATCAAGAACTCCAAACTGCCACTTCAATTATAAATTTTTGTTCAATGTCAAATATATGAATTGAAATGTAACAACAGAATTGTCATTTATTTTAAAAGTATTATATATAAAGCTGTGAAAGTGGGCACGCCTATAGTCCCAGTGGCTTGGGAGTCTGGGACTCCAAGTTCAAAGCCATCCTCAGCAAAAACAAGGTGCTACAACTCAGTGAGACCCTTTCCCTAAATAAAATACAAAATATGGCTGGGGATGTAGCTCAGTGGTCAAATGCCCCTGAGTTCAATCCCTGGTACCCTCCTCTCCCAAAAAAGTATTATATAGAAAGAAAAACTAAAATTACTTACTGAAGAGAAGTACAGATACTGCTTTTCCTGTTTCCTCATTTAGGAAGGATCAAAAGGTTTTCTTAAGATAGATTTAAAATATTCATTTCTAACTATTTCTCATAATACATCAAGGAACATTAGCCAAATTGCCTGCATCAGTAATTCATATACTGGTACACAAAGTAATAGAGTGAATGCTCCAATTGCATTGAGCAGATATGACAAAGACTTTGTGCACATAAGAGAACTGACATAACCATTTATGAATAACCTATATACAGTGTGAAATCTATCTTTTTGGAAATTCCAGCTATATGCTATGAATTAAAGGGAGAAATATATCATCCAAATAAGTAGCTGAATATTTTTGTGCTTTGTCTCACTTTTTTTTTTTTATAAACTGAAACAGAGTTTCTCCTAGACTTTTTAAAAATTTCCATCAGAATCCAATAGTCAAACTACAATTTTCTTTAAAAAGTAAATCAGTAAAGATAAGGGTACTAAAAATTGCATATATAAGCATACCATGCTTTGTGTCCTCTTTCTCCATCTGACTAAGCATGTCCTAAAAATTCTGCACATAGGTCTTAAAGAATAATCCATTTTCCTCTTTATTCTGCTTCCTATAGAGACTTCATAGGGTGATAGAAAATTAGAATCATAGAATAAATAAACCAGTAAAAGCTTAAGATAACTTAAGGTTTATGATGCAGAATATAACTGACAAAAACTTTATCCAGCCCCTTCCATCAGCAAACTCCTACCCTGCACCCCACAATGATATATACTCAAAGCTTTGCCGAAGAGTAATGGTATATTTTCCCAAACCACCACTCTATTGGGCACCTAACTTCTTAAATTAAAAAAAAAATTCAGTTAATAGGTTTGTTGTGGAAAAGGGATCCATATTGCTGAAGTCATCATACAGCATAGAAAAGGCTACATACTTTTTCTCATTGCTTTCATCTGTATAGTTGACACCATAAAACCCATAATAAGAACTAGATATATTCGCTGAATATTCTATCTTCATGGTATAATTGTGTCCTGCTAGAAGGGCTTCAGGGGCAACAATGGCAATTTGCTCATGATATGGATATTCCAGGATTTCAACTTCTTTTTCTTGACTTGAAAGTGCTGACATAAAAGTCACTCTTGAAATATTATGACCTGTGCTATGAAGAATGATATTCCATGTGGTCTGAAGAGCCAGAACTGAAATTGTCACAGAACCCCTGAAAGTCATTGAGGTTAGGTTTGGGTGTAGGTGAAGTTCATAGCGCTGTGGCATAATGGCAGTGGGAAGCCTAATTTGTGCCCATGGAAATAACTTCCCATTTGTTGCAACTGGCTGAATTAGTTCCATTGACTGATTTTTTTTATGGCAGCCTTCTTTGGTAAAGGTACATCTAGGCAGTAGGTAAATCACCATGATTACAGAGACAGCAACCACAATGACAAAAACACAGACCACCAAGGTCCTTGCAGAGGGTACTGAACAGGCCCCATCTGGACTCTGCCTATAGCCAGCTGCACTGTTCCGAAGGCCTGAGCTTCTGTTCATGAAGGACATGCCCAGTAGTTTTGCAGATGACTCATAATCCTCTTCATCCTCGTCCATCTCATGTTCACCAAGACCTCGCACCAGCAGTCGGGAACCCCGGGGCTCATATTCCACCTCATCAGGCTCTAGAGGATGTAAACAAGGTTCTTTGGCTAAGTCCACCACATCTGGCTCTTCCTCAAACATGCTATTTTCAATCATATTCCTGGGGAGCTGAAGTCGATCTAAAAATCCAAACATAAGGACAGGCATAGAGTTAAGGAACAAAGTTTATAGTATGATGTTTTCTAGCAAAAACACTTAATGTAAGATATTTTTAACTTACTAAGACTTATTTCTATCTCAGAGCTACTGAATTAAATAAGATGCTTGTGACCTCCTTGAGTCATTAATTAAAAACCCACACATAAATAAAACATTCCACAGTATAAAGTAAATAAATAAATAGGCTAAAATAAAAAAAATACAGCTGAGATTACAGATTAATTTTCTTCATATATTCCTACCCAACAACCTGGGCCCCTGCTCCAGGCTTTAGAGTGGCTGCTTTGGCCTGCCTGGTTGTGTCTATCCCCACAGGGCCAGGAGTCAACAGGATCAAAGGGATGTACCCACCCCTACAGTCCATGTCCTTCTTCTGGGGTTTGAACACCTGGACCCCAGAATTCCTGCCCCAAAAACCTTGAGTCTCCTTTCAGGGTCTTTGTTTCTCTCTTCCCTCCCTGAGTTTCATTCCTCCTGGGGAGTAACACAAACTGGTCACCCTATTTCTAGACTCCAGTGGTGAGCAGGATGGACTATTGTCCTCTGCCCCCCAGAAGAGGGCTATTCTTGTCCCATACCAAACTGAAAATAGCAAGTTATATGGAAAATTTCCATAAGCAAGAAGTAATACAAATTATATGACAAAAATCTCTAAATATCAGATAAAACTACAATTCAACCTGTTTTCCACACTTGTATAAACATTCAGAAGTACAAAATACTCCCATCTGCAATAGCCACACTACACCATGAGTATTAGTGAGTCTTGGGGTAGGAAAGTAGTGGAAGCTTTCAAAAACTACAAAGAACCATCTCTCCAATTTGCCAAGAATCACTGAGAAAAGTGATACCCTTCAAAAAGAAGAAGGGTAAATAACCACCATATATCAATACTTTTTAGGATTAGACCATTCACTGTACTTTATTTTAAAATCATAAAATTTCAGCTTTTAAGAAGTTATCAAATTGAATCATCCTTTCCCTACAAGGCACTTATACATATCATTTCTAGGACTAACAACAATTATATGAAGTGGCAAGCATTTTATTTCAGACATGAGAAAACAGAGAACAGAAATGGGTTGATTTATTTTCATAGATATATAGTGATTTAGTCATAATACTAATATTTGAGCCCAAGTTTAAAAATTATGATTTCAAATTTCATTATAATGCATCCTGCTACTCAATTCAATAAAAGGTGACAACTTAGTAACTAAACAAGGTCAACTCATATTTAATGAAATGAAGTACTGATAAATATAAGGGTAAAATTTTGCTACTCAGAGAATGATATACAGACCAGCAGCAGCCATATCATATTTTACCTTGTTACGAAAAGCACATTCTCACATCCCCTCCCTGGATGTTGCCAGTGCATGCTATCCTTCATGCATCTTTTTTCCTCTGCTCCTTCTGCCTAGATATCATTTCTCCTTGCTACCCCAGTTCACCTAGTGAACACCTGTTATTGCATAACTCAGCTTAACTTGCTAGAATATAAATGAAGTTATTGTTTATTTTCCCTTTTTCTTTATTACCTTTCAAAAACAAATTTTCTTTTCCTTTTTACCTTATCCATTTCTGCTTTGGGGAGTATCAGTGAGAGTGCCTTTTCTTATCTATTCTCCATCATGAACTTTGTAAAGGAAATACTATTTTAAAGTTTTCTTTGAAAAAAATTTAATCATTTTCTAGCTGTGGATTTGTGCCACATCCTGTCAGTGGTCTAAAAATGGAAGGGGGTTACAACACCCCGCTTCTGAGAATAATCTTCTAAGCTTCCAACAATTTTCAGCTTCTTATGACAAAGTTTATTTTGTTTGATAATTTAGTTGATTTGGGGTCATTTACTTAATTAATAGAGCAAATAACTGTTATACTTAAATCCTTTATTAAAAGTTTTTTAATGAACTCTTACTGTTTAGAAATGTTCTATGGTAGTTTTTTAGTACCTGGCACAGTGCGATAATTTAGCTGCTTATTTTGTTATTAAAAAAAAAAAAGGTCTAGAAGCCCTTTAACTTTTTGCCTAATGTGTGACGATTATGCTCCCTTATGCATTTCTCTCCGTGCTTTCTTCTGTGTCAGATCGGAATAGACAACAATGGGGGCTGGTCGATCTACTTTTACTTAATAAATTTCTAACTAACTGTAGTAGAGTCTCAGTATAATATTTAAAGTATTCCCTTTCCTGAATTCTGTCCCCTTAAAACTTTGTTTTCACTTGATTCTTCAACCACATCCTATTCAAAGCCAAGGGATAGTCCATAATTTGACCATTTACCAACTCCTGTCTGCATTTGGTCAACAAGTCTTCTGAGAAGTGCTTAGTTAGGTGCCTGACAAAATCCAAAAAACTTACTCCTTATTAAATACCCCATTAAATTAATATTTAAGGAGAATTTTAGAAATGGAGCATATTGAATCATCAACTATATTCTATTGCATGTTAGAAGCACACTTACTGGTGTGTGCAATCATTTAAAGTTAAATATAGCAAACTATTGGAAATTACTTTTATTATAGGTAGCTCACAAAGACTGTACTTCGAGCCTATTTAAAAAGAAAATGTAAACTATTAATTTGATTCTTAAATCAGTACATTTAATTTCAGCATAAACTATAATATAATGCTTGATTGTTTCTTGTTCTAAAGGGGTGTATTCCTTTTGAAAGATACACTATCTTTCAAAAGAAACAGGCAATTATCTAAAACCTCTCAAATCTACACATGCATGCTATTTATAAGCCAAAAGCTCCTAAATGAAATATTTTGGTTTTAAATAATATGGACCCATGTGGTTACAATTTTTAAAAAGTGAAGACATTTCTTTATATCAGATACTGTGAACTATCTTGATGTTGTTCATAGACCAGTACCAAAACACAAACTATTCATTTTCCATTTGTGACAGGATACACATGGAAGTTTAGTATTCAAAAACATTTACTTCAATTTGACAGAGTAATTTTATGTCTGAACTTAATAATTTTTGAAATACAGCTTATTTTTTCAAAATATTTTTTAATTGTAGATGGACACAATACCTTTATTTTATTTGTTTTTCTTTTATGTGGTGCCAGGGATCAAACACAGTGCCTCACACATATTAAGTAAGTGCTCTACCACTAAGCCACAACCCCAGCCCCTAGAGCTTATTTTTGCATGTCTTTTTTCATTTCATTTTTCTAGTGATAAATTTTTAAGTGCTACAAATTTCTATAATAGATTGAAAATAAAGCAAAACAAAACAAGAAACATTGCATCTTCAAAGAAGCAATGGGGTAGATTGTCACCAGAATGACCATTCAGGTCAAGATAAAATTCTCAACCATGACAATAAAACAGTGGGAGTGAAGAGAAGGGAACAAGTCATGGTAAAGAGGTAGAATCACAGGAATTAATACTCGCTTGGGCTGGATAGGCCAGGAGAGTAGAGAAATAGAGGGAAGTTGATGTCAAGTTCTATACATGATCCAGCTTGTTTGCATAGCTGGAAGAAGGAAAGTCAATCACTGATATTGAAAATATAGGTTTTTATATTAATATAATATCTCTCTCTCTCTCAAAAGAAAGGAGTAAAAATAGGAATTCTTGGATGGCTTTTAGCATGGGACAAGATATACTTAATATACTTGTCAGACAGTGGGGTAGAAATGTTTGATTATTAGCATATTATAGAATTCAAGGCCTGATTTTACAGGTAAAATTTTATAGGAGATAAAAGAGCCAGGATTTGACTGTTTGATCTTCAACGGGTTAGGCTCCATTCCCTCACTTGTAAATGTGAAGAACATTACTGTTTTATAGGACTGTCATAAGGATTATATGTGGATCTGTGGCTCAAAAGAGGGATGAGGGTGAAAAATTAAGATTTCTAAATCCTGGGTATATATAATTCAAACCATGCAGATGAGTGAGACTACTGAAAAGGGAAGAAGAGTYAGGGAGCATTAGCTTTAAAAGGGTGGGACACAGCAAGAGGGGCAAAAAATAAGAATAAGGAAGAATGGACCAGAGGTAGAAAAATTATGAGGGTAGCACCCCAGAAATTGAAGGAAGGGTTTCATGAAGGAAGTGCTCAGTATTAAATATCTTTAAAGGGCCAAATAAAATGAGGCCTAGAGAGGCTCCTACGTTTGTCAACCAGCAAACCAGTGATTTCTGTGAGGCACTTTCAGGGGAGCAGTAGTAGTAGAAGCCTGTTTGCAGTTGCCCAAAGAAAGAATGAAAAGTGAGCAAGGGAATGGAAGGGCTGTAGACTGTTCTTTCAAGACACATAGTGAGAACATAGAGTTCTTTCAAGATACATATTTCTGTGAGAAAAGAAAAGAAAGATAAAAAGTGGAAGGGCAAAAGGGAAAATACTGGAGAATATCCAGAGGGGAAGAGAGGTCACAAGAACTCCAACAGAGAGATTAACCTTAACTGCAGCCAGACACTCTCCCTCTGACCCTGGGGGACAAGAGGTGAAGGCTGAGAAGAGGCATGTCCAGGTGTGGGTCAGCAGAGAGCCTTTCTGTCCTCTGGGATAGCAGAAACAAGGTCTTGTGCCCTGAGCTTCTGGCAACTATGAAGAAGGCAAAGGTGATTGAGGAGAATAAGAAATCACAGGTACCATGGAAGAGGATCAGGGAGTGTGAATCCGGGTCAAAATATGCCTGAGATATTCTATTAAAAAAGCAGGTGGAATTTGACCACCAGTCTTTTAAAACATCTTTAGCAATGCTTACCAGCCCAGGTCCAAAAAAAGAAAAAGAATGTGATATATAGATCACATAAAAATAAATAAAAGATATTTAAAACCTAGAAGAATCAAATTGTTACTCCAGGGTTACATATGAGTGAAAAGACAAGGGCATGTGTATAGGACAAAAAAATGACGCCATGGCACATAACACAGAGAGCAAACTGAAGCAAACTGAAAAGGAACAAACTTCCCACAGGCTGTAATGC